CCCCTGCATAACTCGCTCTCCTGCTTTGTGTCCTCACTCCTCAGTGTTACTCCTGACTAACTGAGGCAAAGGTTAGACACACAGCTTATCATCACATCTGAATGGAAACGGTGAACTCGTACAATGTGCACAGATACTTTGACAATTAATTGGTGGCTAAACGTATTTGTGCCATGTATTTAAAAAGCTGTTGTGCCTTTTAAACCGTTTCTTTCAATACACCTTGTTCCAGCTTTTGTCTTTGTCTCCAAAGAGAATGATCACAAGTATACATTAAGATTAAGCCGATTTGGCTGCTTGAGATATAAAAGCTTTACTTTGGAGAGTAAAACTCAGTGCTTATCTCAGAGTTCATATTATAATGAGACCTGACCACTGAGCATAGACTTTAAGTTTTAAAGTAAAAGCTCTGGTGTTATAAGGTTGAAGATAATGCTGCATGCTTGAAATCCGGAAATGAATTCAAGCTTAAAGGTAACCTAGAAACCATTGCATTGTGGGTTTGTGCTGTCAGACATGTTGTTGCATAAATAAAGCATCTCAGCGGTGGCGTTACATTATTATTATAAACCCACAGTAAGAGCGTATGCAAATCTGTTGTGCTAAAATTGCAGAAACTAGCTTTTGTTAGGGATTTTCTGAAACTTCCTTATCTCAACTTTTTTTTTTTTTTAAAGAGACAGCTCACCCCACATTAGAGAGTGACATCATACCCTGAAATCTGGCCTGGAGCCTCAGAAATGTTGTTCATTTCATCAATCAGCACACACGCACTCACTCACTCACTCACTCACTCACTCACTCACTCACTCACTCAGGCTTCATTAATGGGCAACACCAGCACCCATCAAGACCTCACTAACAGGCGTCATATGGCAAGATAAGAGGAACACATACCCCGCCTCCTCTCGGCGCACTCTTCAAAGCCGTCGCTCTTCAGACGACACTGCCGAGCGGAACACGACTGTGCGAGCTTCCTCTGCCAGTCTTTGAAAGTTCCTCGAGCTCCTCTTGCATCTACCTTACTGCGCTCGCTGTCATTCTGCCCCCCCCCCATCTCCATGACGCCCTCCCCATCTGACTCCTGCTCTCTTTCATGCTCCTTCTCTCCCATAGGAGGAAATGCAGAGAGAGTCCCCATTATCTTATAAACCCATCAAACGTAAGGCTGTCCAAGGTGGACCGGGGAAGGAAATTATATGTCAATCAAAATTTATATCTGTTAATGCCGGTCGTCTCACCCCCCGACACACCCTCCCCCTAAGTACAAGCAAGGGCAATTTAATGTCAGCGTGAAGCCTTGTTGTTGTCAGCTCGGAAAATACAGACGATATATATTGATAAATAGGATTCATTTGTATAAAGGTCAATACAGCAGAGTCAGAGAGGCTCTAATACTTATATCTGGAGGTTTATTTGTACTGAAGCCCACATGCAACATTGTTAGACACTTACTTAACAAATCACATCTCTGTCAGCAGAGACAGTCACTCTCCAACCAGCTTAATTGACCTTTCGTGATGAATTCAGCAATGGCAGATTAAATTGGCATCTATTTTGTTGTTTTCTTCCTCGTGCAGCAGTTGAACTGTCACATTCAGGCCCTGTCTGGTTTTTAATGATTAAATACAGACAGTGTCTGGGCGACCTCATCTGGCCTTAACTTCATGCCAGTAGCTGAAAGATAAAATCATCCATTTAGATCATCCATTATTTTAATCACTCAAGAGTCGTGTGTCTTGGGGCATCACAGCTTTATTTTGACAGGATTTTGGAAATAAGTGCTTGACACAGAAGGAATTGACATTAGTGGACAAGCCTGACGGGACTGTGTAATCCATCACTCTATCACGGAGTAAGAAAAAATTAAGGCAAACCTAATTTAAGTAACGAATGCTGAAAGAGACACATCAATGCAGCTGCTGTTTTATAACCGAACACATTTCCTCTACCTTTCTTCTCTCTCCAGGCGTCGCCTCATACATGTGCGTGGGTCCAGAGGGATACTGGGACCCCCAGGGACCCGACTTCAGCAACTGCACCTCCCCGTGGGTCAACCTCATCAGCCAGAAGGTACAGAGCTGCATGACTTAACAAGCAGAAAATGTGTTCCTTAAAGTAACATCACAGTTGGTTTGAAGAGAGTGTATTGTGCTTGATCAGATCAGTTGCAGAGTACAACCACAGAAAAAAAACTAAAAAAAGATTATGTCAGAACAAACCCGAGCCCCTTTGACCTGCTCTGAAAATCCCATTTGGAAGAGCTTGCATCATGGTTACTGAGGATATATGGCTTGTGTTCATAGGACTTGTGTTTTTGTGGGTTTTCTCTTTTGTTCTTTGTCTCTTTTTAATTGGTCAATTAGTGTCATTGATCAGCCAGAGGCTTTACTCAATGGAAGGATTGTGTGAGTGTATGTGTGGTTGGATGGGGTGGGAGTGAAAACCTATACCACAGCACCATAGCCTAATGGGCTGCTGTGGCTAACGGCTAACCAAGAACATGGTCTGTCTTACGATGTGATGCAGTAGTTATTTGCACGTCATATTTATCAAGCGCAAACGATTTGTATCCCCTCTTCTGCCTGCATGTTATTATGCAAAGCTGCACATAAAGCTTCCCATGTTTAGATCTATAATCAAATCAAAAGAGGAGACGGTTACTGCAGGAGAGCATCAAGGTTCCAGGTTGTGAATTGCAGGTAATGTTGGGAAATGTTCTCGTTTAAACTCATTGGACCCCGAGGCATGCATGTTATAACACTTATGATCTACTCCATGGCATATAGCGCGGCCCATTAAACAAATGGCAGTTTGCAGATATGGGATGGAGAGTGGCTGTGGGGGAGCAAAATAGAGGGAGGGGGGGCGTTATCAGGCATCGTTCGAGCTGTGCAACAAACCCCCACTGACGCCTGTTTGGAGAAATTAACTACAGCAAAAGTTCTCTCTGAATTTGAGGCTGTGTGATGCTAATGTCAAATATTTCTTGTTAAGATCTGCAGTAATAAGCGACAGTCAAGTAATGGGTGTATTTTTAACAAAAGTGTTATTAATCTCTCCTTCAAAAAAATCACACTTGAGCTCTGCGCCTGTCGCTGTAAGAGATGCGAAGACTTTAATGAAGATCAACCTGTCAGAGATGTGAAATGCCCATCTGGCACTGCGTTGTTTCATATCTCGAGCCACTGTCCTGTATGTGCCACTGCTCATTACCAGATGGTTTCGTATACCCAAAATTAGAAAAAAGGAATGACTTCAGATAAGCAGAAAGTGTGGAGCCATTTACGCCGCGTTCACTGCTCTCCTCATTAAGAGACGAGAGCAGGGAGGGGAAGAGAGGAAAACATCTTCCACAGTCACTTTCTCCTACGTGCACCTCTGTGAGGAGTGCAGTGTAATTGGCTTCACTAATAAACAAAGATAGCAGGTGATGCTGGAATAAGCAGGGTGGTACTTTTTAATGTGGTGCCACTTTGTTTTTGAGTCTTATCTCACTGTACCTGATGTAATGTGCAAAACTTTGAAGTTCGCCAACTTTTAAACATACATACCTAAATGGTGTTATGTGTTTAGTCACATTGACTGGAAGTTATTTACTAGTTGAGGTTATATCATAGCTAAATCATTTATTTTTATTGGTGGCACGGTGGAGTTTGAATGCTCTCCCTTTGTCTGAGTGGGTTTTCTTAGGGTGTGCCTCCCACAGTCAAAACAGATCGGGGTTAGGTTAGTTGCTGGCTCTAAATTGTCCATAGGTTGTAATCTGAGTTTAAATGGGGACCTGTTGAGGGTGTACCCTGCCTCTCACCCAGTGCCAGATTGGTTGATTGATATATTTTATTGTCATTTCTGTATGTATCCTCTTCTATTTTAATTAAAGCCAGTTTATTCAAATGTTTGGTGAGCAGAGGCTCCAAAAATAACGGAAACTTGACATGTCTGATATCAAGGGACATTTCTTCACATTATTAGCTCCCAGCTTGGTAGAGATGTGCTGAGATTTGAAAACCAGGGTAAAGAACTGTGCCAAGTGTGTGTACTTAGATGTCTGTGAGCAAAACCTCTCAGTGTTTGTGGTGAGTCATTAGCCACTGAAAATATGCATCTGTAGCTTTACAAGTCAGATATTAGGAAGAAATAGCAAAGGAAGACTTTCTCTACTATTGTCTGCAAATCTAAATCAGAAAGTCTACTTGTGGTTCAAACACGGTTCACTGAACCCCATAGTTACTGTCGCCAGCTGGTTAATTTGTAAATCAGGAGGATCTGAAAAACAGAGGGCACTGTTATGGACGGCCCGGGGAAACACGGGTCATGGAAGGCATCAAAAACCCACAGGGTCTGGAGCACATTGGTCTTCATGTTTGCTGTTACATCTAAAAACTAAACAACATTGTAATTCAAAAGAAAGCATTATGTAGAAGAAACAGAGTTGCAGCCCTCTTACTGTCCAATTCCAAAAATTCTACATAAAAATCATAATGAACAATGCAACGTAAACTAAAACAAAACAGAACTGCAAATAAAAACAGCTTTGTTTCCATTTACCTCATTGTCTTGGTCTGTTTGCCTTCTTGAGAGACACTTGCCTGATAGATAGGACAAATAGATTGAAGACAAAACACTGGTCCCTGAAGGTGGAAGCAATTCAGCTTAGCAGATGTCTGTTGACGTAAAACAAAGAAGAAGGAGAAAACATAGATTTATGTGCAAACCAGATTTTTTGGGAAAATTGCTGAAGTTGCAGGCAGGAAGCAGCGCAGTACATAGGGAATTCTTTTGAGTATGACCCTGAGGTAGACAATAGTAAATGTGTCATGATGAAGAGCGACAGTGACATTTGTAGGGTACAGCTGAAAGGGAGAAAAAAATCCCACTAATTTGAAAGTTCACCAGAAAAGCTCTCGGAGTCGAGGGAGCAACAGACGAATGTAAGCTCAGAGCCAGACAGCTGCACGACATCAAGACCTCCACAAACACAGCAACCCTTACCCCAGTGCTTTGCACAGGAGGATGCATGTTGTCCTGTTACTCAGGAGCATTGCAAACACAAGCAGGCTTTGGTCCAAATGGTCATTAACTCAGGTTCCCTCGAAACTGCAAAACAATACTTTTACACAAGCTATTCCAACGATTGTTTAAAACTCCAGTGCCTGCCTGAGATCACAGCTCGACGGCTGCGAAAAAACAGGAATGCTTGGCGCTGGATTCGGTGTGTTGATGGATGGAATGAACTTTTAGATCCTCCACACATTGGCAAGTTGATGGTCTGCTGCATTGACCTAATGCTGACCTGGAGTTGGAAAGATGGGACGTCAGGGACAACAGAGTGCTGCTTGCTACACCAATAATGGAAGCAATAATGTGAAGGCCTTGTGTGTGTTGCAAGGCTGAAAAGAAAAGGAAGAAGATCCCTCAGACTCAAGTGCAACACACACAGCAGAGTCTTATGTATAGATCCTAGCAGGAGAGGTTCTTCCAACTATATAGATGAAAACACCTCAAGGGCCACTGACACTGCCTCTCCAGTGCCCTATGCTCCCAAAAGGTGCATGCATCCCGCCTGGAAGGGGGAAAGTCAGGCACCTGATGTCAGTGGGTCCCCAAGTGAGATGACAAAGATATGAAGATCTAGACCCACTGGAGTTCTGGAGATTAAGGGAAGCCACTTATCCAAGAATCGCCCAGGTTGTTTTAGCACTGCGTTTTCCTAAAGACGTTTTGACCAAAGATATGTGCTGGCAGCTGTAGGTGTGTTTGTGTTTCTGCAACTTCATCCTGGCCCTTTACTGACAAAGTTTTGCTTTTGATTGATCTCAGAGTGCTAATCACCCCGCTCTGCTGTGAGTCCAGCAGAGTTAATGGGTCATGGTGTTTACTTGGTATCATGTTTGATGTAATGCTTTTTTCATCCCACCTTTTTCAGCTTCAGTGAATGAAGGCTTTACTCATAACACATGAACAAGTTTTAAAAAGAAAAGGCTAAAAAATGAAACTAAGTCATTTTTTCAAAAATAATAATGATACCTAAACTCTTTATGCACTCAAGAAATTAATTAGATACTAGATTATGTTTGGGATAGAAAACAAGTGGGGAATTAAAGTTGGGGCAAAATAAAGCAAACACACACAAAAATAATTATGATGTCCCCTTTTTTTTTTTAAATCCCAAGATAAAAAAATCTTAAAAATGAGAAAAGTGAATATCCACAAGCATATCTGTCCTCTGTGTACCACATATACTCGCTTCCCTCACGCTGCACTGCTCCCCTTTAGTTTCATAAAGGTCTAAGGCTATCTGGGGAAATTCCCTGAATAGTTTGATTTTATAATTGCTTCCGGGTGTACAACATTGGCCCCCGTGTACAGTCAGCTGTGTACCATCTCGCCACATTAATTGCGTCCAATACAGAATGTATCTGTGCGCATTTATATACTGCAAATTGCCATGTTTTCCCCATGTTTTCCCGTGTGCAGGCTGTGAAGAACTAAAAAACATGCAAAAGTGAAAAGACTAAAATAAAACGAGTCTTATCTGAGCTGCAAATCTCAGCTGAATGTCGGTCACAATTCGATTTTTTTTGTTTCTACAGCTTAAAGCCGGCGAGACAGCTGCGGTCATTGCCAGGGAGTTGGCGGAGCAAACCAAGAGTAATCTTCAGGCGGGGGACATCACCTACACAGTGAAGGCAATGGTCCAGCTGGTGGATCTCCTCGACGTGCAGCTGAGGAACCTCACGCCAGGTGGCAAAGACAGCGCCGCACGGAGCCTCAACAAGGTAATGAGAGCAGAAAAAAACTTTATCCACTGAACTCTGCTTCTGTTTTGAAACAATTCTGTAACGAGGTAATAGGCTGGATAAACATCACCTCAACACATAGTGACCTATCCCTCTTCCAGTCCGCTATGTTCGGATCTTTTCACAACACAGAATTTTAGGTTTTACTCGAGAGTGCCATATTGTGAATTGGCACTTTTCTCCTATGATACCTTGAGGAATTTACAAAAATGGAGTCCCAATACCAGAAATACTGCAATTTTGCCCTGTGCTGTCAGGTAGAACAATCCTCACTCTGTAGCTCAAGCACATCTCACTCAGGTATCATGCAATACCTTTTATTTCTATGTAGCTTAAAAAATGTTATCCATATATCCTGCTTTTCAAAAGCACTGCATTTGCGCAGATGATTCCACTAATGAAACAGGCTAAGATTCCAGTGGGCATGATCTAACCTTTAGGAGCACAGTGGTTTTCATTTTAGCTGAAGCTCATGCATATATTCCCCAATTCACAGCAGAGTGAAGTAAGGCGAAGCAAAACGAGCTCAAATAATACTTTCTGTCTGCTGAGCTGCCAACGGAAATTCAAATGTCAGTCTTTAATTTGCTGGAGCGACTTCACTTGCAGAGGAGCCTGAACACCTGTTCTGGGATAGCTTTTTCCGAGCGGTTTTTATTTCATTACCACAACAGACACAGATGTTCCCATTGAGATTTTAGTGCCAGTTTTCTCCAATGGAGATGGGAGGCAGTAAAGATGGCCAAAAGGCCTCGGAAGGGAACACGACGAGTAAATTCACATTGAGGAGCAACTAGAGTTCATAATGCCTCTTGAAAAAGTTTCTCATAAAACACAGCGTTGGAGGTGGAGGGAGTGCTGTGGCTGAGACTGCTGTTGTCGTCTCGAGTTTCTCTCGTAAAAATCAGGAAATGATAATAAGAAAAAACATTTGGGCTGAGGGCAGTAAACCCGCCTCCAAAACCAGAGCAATTTATTCAAGAGGTCATAGGTTCACAACTGATTTATAATTCTCTGTCCATGCCATACTGGCAGTGTGGTGGAAAATAAATGTCCCTATAGCTTCCTCTTGGGTCCGTCTTCTTCTGCCAGTGCGAGTTTCCCCCAATGAAACCTTGGAGTCCATGATACTCGTCCTCTCTGCTCTGGCAGTGGCTGATGTTTACCTCCCGAGTTCAATCATTTTGACACAATCTGCAAAGAGCTAAGCAAAGTAAAGATATATTTTATTTGATAGCGGAGCGCAACACTCTCTGCCAGCCGACAATGAAAGCATCGAGCTGGCGAACAGCGAGATCAGTGTCGTTTTCGTGATCAAAGGGTAGCTGGCTAACGCCGCGGACGGGACCGTTTCCAGAAGAGTGGGCTGTGATGTAGAGCACGAGGCGCCTTTATGGGGAAATGTTGCTCTTTGGAGCTAATCTGTACGGGAATTAGCACGGTACCAGAACCTAGCAGTTAATCCACAGAGCGGCTCTGTTGGCTCCACTGTTTGAATCAGAAGTCGATTCACTCTCCATGCACTGCCGATTCACTCTTTGAATCTGAGCTTTTCCACTATTTTTCCGGTTTTCTCCGTTGTTGCGAGCATCATGTCGCCTTCAGTGGCGACAGAGCTTCCACACAAATACACCGTCGTTTTAAAATGGAAACAATTTCTATTCAGAGGATTTTTTTCGCTCCATATCAGAAATAATAAAAAAATCATGTGCTGGAATGAAATGAAAATGCAGAATTTAACTGCACAACAGCTGCTTACAAAGACAACACAGTTGTCTGTGTTTGTAATTCAGTGTCGATGTCACGTACCAGCTTTTTCTGAAAATGATTACATGATAAGACAAAGCAGGGAACAATCTGTCTGCGAGTATATTACATACAATTTTTTTATTATGATTTGCTTATAAAATCTAGTTTTACATGATCACAAACTAGTCAATGTAGCAAAAGTGATGACACAGAAACAACCTTTAACAGTAGCCCAGCCATATTTCCACATATCTCATTTTAGTTCTAGTTTCTGCTGTTTCCAAGAATAATAAAACTATTGAATTTTTGAAGGGAACATTCAACTTTCAAGAGTGAGGTGATCGTCCCCCCCCTCACTACTGTGAAGTCTGTGCTTCAATCAGAAATGTGTTTCAAGAGGAATTGTTTGAGTTGTTGACCTTTCACTAACTGTTGTCGCATTTTCTTTGGGTTGCAGCTGCAGAAAAGAGAGCGCTCTTGCCGGTTTTATGTTCAGGTATTTGGACGTAATTTTCCCCATAACTTTGCTGTCACTTTCATTTTTTAACATGCAATTTGAGGTTTGACCTTTTGAAATTCCAAAAGAATGGAAATACAAAGCCACAGTTCTGTATACCAAACTGCAGCTGTGTAGAATCAAATGGTCAAATTTCATTGATATCATTTCAGTGACGTTGCATCCAAGTAAAAACCATCAGTGCCACGATCTCACCTTCATTTAATCACCTGTCGTCATTTAAACCCTGCATGGATGTGTCGTGACGTTCTCCTCCATCTCTAATATGTTTGGCCTGAGCATGAGTCTGAGAAGTTTTGGATTTTCAGATGCCATATAAGCATTGTGGATTTCTCAAGTGTCTCAATCATTATTTTTAAAACCATCACATCAGCACTGATTCTCAGTGAAATAGCCCACATCAGTCCAAAGTAAACCTCTCAGGCATGTAACACACTTCTACATTTCTCAGCAAATGCTTAAAAGCCAAAAAAATGACCTCATTATACCAGGAAGTCAACTTCTAACTACTAACTCAGCCAAAGTTGTGGCATGTTATGATTCTCCCTAATGCATAATACATATGTGTCCTAATTTAAGTGGGTCTCCATCGCCTCACTCAGCTACTTCCCTGGCTACTGAGTGATTTCTGTTGCCCCTGGGGTGACATTTGAGCTGTCGTCAGAATCATTTATACCTTGACAAGAGAACTATGTGAGAAGTTGACATCCCCTGTCCTCCATACAGATTTGTCCAATAAGCCAGATGTTGTTTACATGTGTGCTCTGCAGCGCTCATGTATTTCGCCCGGGTTCCTCTGAACCAACTATGTATCGTCATGTGATTATGCAAATTACTTCCAAGTGGAATGTACGTGTGTGTGTGTGGTTTAGTGTTTTCACATGTGCAGATGTGTGGTATTCTGTATTTCTTCTTCTGTGAGCAAATGTCACACAGTCGATCACAAAGAACAATTGTTAATTGTCTGTGTAGCCCAAGCCTGATTTAGTTCATTGTTCATCACATCTAAAATATAAAATGTGAGCTACACAGCTGCTTTGTTTGACATATGTTTCCATTACAATGACTATGAGCATTATTCTCTTTCTGTCTTATGATGACTTCACTGCCCAGTTGTTTATTTGTTGTTTTCCCAATTTTAAAGCAGACATATTATACTCAGGTTCTAATAATCAGAAACAAACTCACCACCTTTCCTCAAAGTGTCCATTGCTGCAGCTCCTTGTTTCAGCCTCTGTCGGAAACGCTTGGTTTTAGCTCCTGTCTCTTGATAAAGCCCAGTCTGCTCTTACTGGCCTGCTAACCATCACTTCCAGCACTTATAGGAAATGTAGGCCTCCGCTCTCACTTTACTTGGCTTTGTGAGAGGATTGGGCATTTTGAATGATCAGAACTTTTACACACACACAAAAACCTACAGCACACCAGAGGAAAGAGAAATACTGAAAAAGCATAACATCTCCTTTAAAGTTTTTGTAGGATGAACAAGTGTCCTTGAGGAATTGGGGGAGTCTCAAGAGATGCACCAGCATTATTGGTTTTGGTCTTTTTCAAAGGAGTCATTTCAAATACAGAGACGCTACCATTCACAAGGTTTGTTTATGCCAACATATTTGAACCAATAGCCATTAGTGTGGCTAACGAGGAGAAATGAGATACAGTGCTCCACGGTGTAGTTTACACTTTTTACCGCCTTTGTATTCTGCACTGCCACACGTGGCCGTGCACAAGTGCTCAGCCGTGCACCTTCTCCTCGGTTTGGTCCCCGAGCTATGGGTTGACAAATTCAAACAACAGTGCTGTGCTTTCACTTGACGAACCGGAATAATGGAGGAACATCTGTGGCCTTAGGTAAACACAGGCATCGACTGCACGCGCTGCCAGCCTTTGAGAGACTTTCATTGATTAGGGAAATAGGGCAATGTTTTCTCCAACGGGGCCCTGGTGGCTGACGTAAGTGGGATTAGCAGAGGAATACAAAGCGAACAAGGGGTGCGCCCGCCTCTGCTGTCCCCTCCGTTCAAGGAGAGACCATGCACGTTGCTGCAAAACAGACAGGTGTGGTTGTGTTGAGGGAGTTTCCTAATAGTCCAAAATAATATACAGGGCTTGCGGTTGAGGTGCGGTGATGTGTCTGATGAGGAGTGATTCTCATGTGGGCTTCCATCACAATTTAGTGCTAAACAAGTAGATGGCTCTTGAATTCACACGGTACTGAGGTCTGTCTCATTAAAACATCAGGCACGTTACAATACAGAGAGCGTATTTGCTGTTTCCCATCCTCACAAACTGCAGCAACGACCCTGCTTCCACTGATCCTCTGATAGATCAACGATTTAGTACTTTTGAATCCTTTTCAGTTGTTAACAAACAGTGATATCAGCTGTATGTCACAGCCAATTTAATCCCACTGAACAGAATTTGGCCTTGATAAAGCCACAGAGCATGTAATGATCAACTCCCTGTGTTCTGAATTCCCCCTGCAGGAGTGTTCTCTCTGTTGTGCTCTTTGATTTTGAATAAACTTGATAAAAATGGCGGCCTTCCTGCCGTGCCTTTCGGTCCTGTTAATGGCAGCTTGTTTATAGGCAGTGACATTATGGTCAGCCAATTACTGTGATTATTTCCATACATGTTGTATCAAGCTAAAATCAAACACGCTCGCTTTGAAATAGCTTCACCCCCCTGCGGCCATTTATTTTGTTTCAAGTTGAAGATGTGGGATTTACAGTAAACGACGCCCTGCTTCAACACATAAAAGATCAAAATAATGTTTTGTGCCTTAGTAAAAGCCAAGTGAGTGTGAATTTTGCGGGGCACAGGGAGGATATTGAGCTCCGACCCCTCATTAAAATGACAAGTTTGCGTGCAAAAATGAGCCGTGGGAGCGTCACGGTGCAGAATGACCTCAGAGCAGGCGAAACGGAGGGAGGCTCCTCGTTCGAGAACGTAACGAGATGATAAAATTTCCCTGGTAGTCAATTTCTTGAAAGATGAAGATAACCACATTCTCATAAACAGAGACCCCCTCATCCGGCCGTCAGTGCAGAGTTCTGCCTGAATAATCTTTGTGAGCTGTCTCTGCTCACAATAAGGAGACTGGAAATATCTCACAAAGCATTCAGGGATTTGTTGAGAACATTTGCTGTAAAATTTGATATATATTTGAGTGTTTTTAATGAGATTTCTGGATTTTATTTATGCACATATAGTGCATACTTGAATAAAAGGCTTGATGACTATGTTCATTAAAAGCTGGGTGAAGGCAAGGTGAAAACTACTGTGTGGGTGTGGAATTAACTGCACTCAAATTTACCCTGTGGAGTATTTGACCACTGTTAACACTATGGATCTATTCGTGCTTTTATCAGTGGATCCTGGTTATAGGTTTTTCTGTCTTGTGAGAAGATAACAAGCTTGCAAATATCAATGTGAACATTTATATTATTGTTTATTTCCAACACTAAATACATCTATGCAATATAATGTTATTTTACCAGTATGCTCTTTACAGCTTCAATTTTAGACGAAAAAAAAGTTTTAAATATGCAAAGAGGAGCTATTGTTTGTACTCTCAGCAATGACTGCAGTTTACAAACTTTTGTGCAAGAAATGTCAAAAGTCAGTGACAGTAGTCATACATCGAATGACAGAATGGACTCAAAACATCACTTGAAATGCCGTCCTTCACTTTGACATCACGCGTTGCCGAAATGCATTGTGGTAATGCTGCATCGCGTATGTGCAGCAGCGGAGGCAATCATATCACGTTAAGTCAAACACAGGGCCTGTCTGACATATGCACATTTAGCAGAGAAGGAGCAACATCATCATTCATTCGTTCTCATGTTTCCAGCATCCGGGAAAACGGAAAGTCTGCTATTCACTCTCTTTTTAAGCTCTGCTCATTGGTCCAGTATGTGCAGTATGGTGCACTGCTGCTTATGTGTTTCAACCCTGTGTACTTGTTTTTAGCAGTGCATTGATTCTGCGGCCCAGGCAATAAACTGTGATTGTAGTGCACACCCACCGTCACAAGTGCCACTCCTGTAAATTAAGGAAATGAAAGCAACAAATAGTGTTAATAGTTCAAAAAAGAAGAACATAGAGGAGTTTGTGTTGTGATATCTGCATGTTACTGATTTTAAAAGCTAATTAAAATAGCAAGAGATCCGCAAACTTGTAAGAAAAAGGTATTTCTCCTCTGTAAGTCTGTTTCAAACAAAGTCCTGCCTCTCTCCAGTTGAGGCAGGTGGCTGTTGGGGGAAAAGTGCGGTAGTGCGATGAAAACTGAGACATAAGACAAGAGGCACAAAGGTAATCCCTCAGTAGCTCACATACAGTACACAGACACCACCTCCCGCTAAGAGAGAGGTTTCATGAAATATTAAGGAAGAATGCTGCAGAGATGCTCAAAGAAGACAGATGATTTGGCAAGCCGGTAAAATAAAACGGGCAAAAGAGAGGCAGAAATGATGCAACAGCTAGAAGAGGACAGCGGGAACAAGATATCCCACCTTGTTTGTGTTGTTGTGTGTGTTTTGTTTCACTTGCTTTTGAGATCAGCCTTCAACTTCAGCGAGAGAAAAGCAAGTGAGGGGAACCAACTGGTGAGCAGGGAGAGGGGAGACGGGAGCCGAGTGCACACAAGCCAGAAAGGGATGCAAAGGGAGATCAGCCTCCGCCAGAATCAATTTCCCAGACCCAGAGTTCATTTCATCAATCAGCACACAGATGGAAGCACAAACACACACACACACACACACACACACACACACACACACACACACAGCATGGTGTGGGCTTGAACCCTTGCCAGGCGAACAGTAATGTACAGCTCAACCCGTCCTTCCCTCTGCATGGTTATAAACGGCCTGTGCACTGCAGCGTTTCACCACCGAGTCGTCATCCTCGTTCCGAGCGCTGCATTCCAGCAGTGAGTCCATTCAACGATTAGCATTTCCTCATGTACCAGGAAGCGGAATACATTTATTTTTTTCACATTCGCTCAGCAAAGGAAAGTACGGAGTTTGCAGCAGCAGCAGACTGAGCTGCTCCATTTGACAGATGGAGTGGCAGTGTGCTAATAGCGGTAAAATAGCAGCAAGCCCCCGTCACATCTCTGCCATGCAACCCGCACAGAGTGTGATGATGGTGGTAGTGGTGTGCTGCTCGGGTGCACCACCCTCTCTCCCCCGCCCACTCACCCACACTCACCCACTCCTCTGTGTTTTCTCCCACCGAGGCTGAAAATGATGCCGCTCTCACTGATCTCATGAAATTTTGCAGAACGAGCCCAACGTTTTTCAGAGTGTAATTTGCCTGCGCTGGGAGAAACGCAATTCCCCATATGGGAGCGGATTACATGGAGGAAACACATACGGGCAGAGTTCTGGCACTGAAATGGCATCGTAACAAAAATCAAAAATGACGTCCTAATACACTGGCCCTCATAAAACATAAAATATAAAAATGCCATTTCCAGGTTGCGTGTTGTTTAACCAGCCAACCTAAAATAATGTAAATTCATTATTAACCTTCGTAGCTTTGACATTTTTGTTTCCTCCAAGAAGCCACGTTATTTTAACAGAATTTGACATGTTGATAATTGAGGTTTAAAGGTGCTGGTAGGTTCTGCTCAGCTAAGCAAACTGGCGGCAGCTTCATATTTAACATTCTTCTCATGTAACTTAGACAGAAAGAGAATGAAGGCGTTTTCGACCTGTGGTGTCGGGGTCTGAGGGTCTGGACCAAACTAAGTTGAAAGCAACCCGAGTGTATTTTCTAGAAACAGAAAACAGATTCATTTCACGCCGATGAAGCTTAAGTCGTCTGGAGCCAGTAGAAGAGTAATGCAATCATTTGTTTTAACCTCAGTTACACTACAACGCTGTCAACATCATCTGTCTTCATGAGTGTTTTTGGATGCGCGTGTTGGATCAAACTGAAACCATCCGTCAACCGTCAAGGCCCCAGAAAATGTCTTTGAGATATTTTCGTGGCTTTTTTCTATGAAATCAAAGACAGGGATTTAACATAGGGGAGGGATTTGGAGTTTAAAATTAAGTGGGACTGAAGCTGTATAGTGAACATTAGTCATTGCTTTTTGCTTCTGTGGACAAAAAGGAGATGGATGTTTTTTATCCTGAATGGCAGGCTGTGCTTCCTTTGACAACACTGAAGCATTTCTGTGAACCCAGATCGTAAATATTACAAACATCCGTGCTGCTTTTTAAGTTAAGAGACACTTATAGTTTGTGTTTAGAAGGAAAAGGTGCCTGGACAAATGTTAAATCTGTGATGACATTTCACTGACTTAACATAAACATCTGCCCCTGGTTGCAGAATCTTGTCGGAAAAGTGTTTGATGCTGGATAGGAAAAATAAGTGAGGGCTTTGATGTAAAAACATGTGAATATGCTTTTTTGACATTCATTTAACACCAGAGCTTTGGCTGGGAAGTTTAAAATATACACATTTAAAAATATTAAACCACAACATCCCAGAGGAAAAATAAATGAAGGACATGTCATCGCTTGTCCTCAATGAAAGCTTTAGTGCCGTTTGTCACACAGATGGATGAACAAAACACTCAGGGACACGAGGTAATAACACAAAAAAGGCGTTTTTCAAACGATCTAGCTGGAGCTGGAGCTATTTTACTTGTCTAAGTTGTAAACTATTTTACAGAAAAAAGACATAAAAGACGCTTCAGTTGTATGTACAGTTTTGTGACGGAGCACCAGTAATTGTCCCTGCACAAGGACCAGGTTTGCCTCAGAATTTCCTTGCACCCAATTTGACCGTCTCTTGTTCAGCCTTCAGAAGAATGTTTGGCAACAGGAAAATGCTTTCCCTTCTGGCCAACACTAAAGGACACATTTTTCTTACTACATCGTACATGTTGTGCTAGCGCCCAAGTTGAGAGAGAGCACGCTGTTAATTAGATTTAAACGAGAGCAGTTTTTACATGGAGATTTTCAGTAGTAAAAATGTAATTGAATCAAAAGTGTCTTCCTATCCAGCTCTGTCTAACACACTGATTTACAGAAATCAAATAATATAGCAATATACACTTTTGTAGAAGTTTCACCTTCTGTCCGGTTCATCCGAAAGGCCTGTCCCGCTCCTCTAATCCAAAGCCTCCGTCTGTTCCCTTCTAATGTTTTGGATCATTATCTCACTGTAAAAGTGTCCGTCTCCCTGTCTTACTTCTTTTATAACAGTTTGACAGAGAGTTTAACATTTGTGATAAAAAAAAGTTGCTATTGCTGCAGTGACGCTTTAAATTAAAGATATGATATTCAACAATTCATTATGAAACTATCTAAAACAACAATATTCAAACCCAGAGAATGAAGAATCAAGCCCAATGAGACAACACTGCATAGTCACATGATACATTCAATGGTTTGAAGGGGACACATTTGTCATGCTGTATGCTTGTTAACGGTAATGAATAATGTGCGTCACCATGATTCGGTAATCTCCTCCATGTCTAGATAATGCACTGTGAACGCGTCTGTATGTGACGGCCTGTAAGAAAACACATCTTTACTGATTGTTGCCCATAGAAAAACCTTTATTAGCCTTTTGATTATCAATTCATCCGTTACATATTCCGTCCTCATCACGTCCCTTTTTGAACGTCTCTTGTGCATGTGATAAAAAGTGAGAGGGCAACTCTGCAAGTCCATCAGCCCTTTCTCTGAGGAACCATTTTGGCTTCTTTTTTTTTTTTAAGAAGTGCAGAGGAATAATAATTAAAAAAAAAAAAAACGTTGCGGTTGTGAACGAAGACGGAAAAAAATGTCAGTGCCTGAAGAAAAAGAGCTCCTTAATTGAGAGTGAATCAACCTCTGCCTTTAGCTGAATGTCAAAGGGTGTGAATGGAGATTGGCTGCAGATAATGAATAATTACCTGTGTGTGTGTGTGTGTGTGTGTGTGTGTGTGTGTGGGGCTGTTCTTGTATACAAGCAGGTGTAAAGGTGTGTTTTCACTCATTCTCTCTCCATGTTTGTGTGTGTGTGTGGGCAGCTTAATGTGTGCAGTTTAAGCTTTGAATAAGGAAAAGCCAGCTGGTGCTATTTGAAATGTGAATTGAAAACACGCGTCCGTCTCTCCTCACGATCACAGAGATTCCAAACAAACCCACAACTTAACGTGAGAAGGTAATTGGAGGTTTCCATAACACTTACACCATGTGACTCGAAGAGTTTTTGTTTTTGTATTATTCTTTTGGATCAGGAAATCATTTGATACACTGGAGCACCAGATTTTTCTTGTTGCCTCTAGCTTTATCCTCATGCTGTTTTGGAATGTCACACCGAAACTCTTATTCCCTCTCATAATCCGGTGATCAACCGGGGGGGGGGGGCGATCTAAGCGAAGTTCAGTGAGTTATGTGGCGTGACATTTTTCTGTACATCACAGCTTCCGTCGTCGAGGTGTCTTCGTGTGTAAAGTGGCTTTTGAAGAAATGTAAAGGGAGCATAAAACATTTCAGCACAATTTTACTCACATGTATGATTTTCTCTGCAGAGTTGCTATTATCAGCCATTCAGGAAATTTCTCATAATTGTGCATTTGACCACCTACCGCACTGTAATGACTTGGAAATAGCTTTCTTCCAAGGGCAGCCCGGCTCGTTTTGCTCTTCAGTGCAGTGGTACTGGGAATGAATTGCATCGCTTGACCAATTAGTATTCCATCCATAAATCTTGCCATTGGCATTTTTAAATCTTTAATGGCTCTTAATTTTTCATCTTGTCTTGAGAGCGCCCCTGTTTCTTTCTTGCTTACTTGCCTCAGCATTGTTGCAGGGAGATTAAAGAAGACATAATAGTTGTTCAATGCCATTAATATGCAGAAAAGATTTCAGCTGAGTGGTCGCAGATGGCTGCTACCGGCACAAACCTTCTACAGCCACTGGAATGTTTTAAGTGTTGTGGCATGCTTTTTTTTTGTTGTGTACTGTGATTGTCTGCATGGAGGGAACATTTGTTACACCAATTACACATTCTTGCCTCAGGTCATGTAAGAATTGGCCTGTAGTCTTGTAAGTATTGGCTCTGATTCATTTACATGATTAATTCCCCCTGTAGACAAAAAGGAAACGGCAACAAAAACAAGCGAACAACATCTCCAGTGCCATTACAGATTCAGGTGTCGCTGCTGCTGTGGCTGATGATCCATGTCCAAAAGCATAACTTGTAAATGAACTGGAAATAAGGTCATGGATGTTGTCAGTGCAAAGCTGATTTTCAGTCCAAATGAAAAAGACGGGAGAAAAGACCCCTTCATGCCTCTTCCTCACACAATCCCGCAGGATTGTATGATTATTTTATTTTCAGTTGTGAACTCTCTTTCATCCCCCTTCACTCAAACCATTTTAACAAATCACCATGCAAACAAAAGCAGCCAGTTGCACGCCCGCTCCTTTTTACTAAATCAATGGTTTGGATTCCGCAGGCCATGGTGGAGACGGTCAACAATTTGCTGCAACCGCAGGCCCAGGCGGCGTGGAGGGAGCTGAGCACGGGCGAGCAGCTGAGGGCCGCCACCATGCTGCTCGACACGGTGGAGCAAGGCGCCTTCGTCCTCGCCGATAACCTGCTGAAGACGGACATTGTGCAAGAGAACACCGAAAACATCCGTGAGTATAGAGAAACTATGCTAACGTTGCTTATTCTGCTCCAACGTTTTCCATATTAGGTATTTTGCTAATATTGAATCCATATAATAATAACTTGGTTTATATAAGACCTTACAAGGCCGCTTACTTGCAGTAAAAAGCAACAGTTACACCAAAAGTGCAGGAGAACTGAGAGAACATCCTGTCACATCTGGGTCTTGATGACCTGACTCATGTGCATGTAACACTTCCTTGCTCTATGGAAGTCATTGGATCACTCCCCTGTCCATTCGTTTGTTTGGTAAGCAAGATTATGCAAAAACTGCTGGATGGATTTAACACGGTAACTGGTGGAAGGATGCGGTTTCCAACACATTTTGGTGCGGAAGTGGAGAGTTTTCATTCTCTTGATATCCCAGGGTGTAATTGATCAAAAAAATCAGGCACATTTCTTGGAATGATTTCTAGAAGTTTGTGCAATATGCTGCAGCTTGATTAAATTTCAGGAGACAGTTGGATGCAGGTATTCACTCAATTATCTGTCATTCTCATACAAATGAAGAAACCAAAAAAAAATTAAGTTTATCATTCTAGTTTTAACTGAAAAGAAAAGAAAGTGGAGTCATACGACATATTGGTGCTTCAGGATTACTGGTGAACACATGCAATAATTACAAAAGGCATCATATGTTTTTAGCTTGCGTAATTATGTGCCTTCCTATATCACCTTTTTTATTTAAATCACACATCCTCTCTGTCTTGTTTCATCGATTTTCAGTTTCAAAATAAACTGCCGTCAAATTAGATGCATTTATTGCTCAATAAGGTTGATAATTTCTGGGCTAATATCAGTTCTGTGCATCCCCACGATTCTATGTATTATTTATGTAACACATGGAACAGAATAGTATCAGCATCTTTTTTTTCTTTGTCAGGGAGGAAAACAGTAACAGCTGAATTCTTGCAAGCACTGTACCTTTTAATCTTGGTTTCTTCATTTGTATGAATAAACTAATCAGATCATTTCTCCTCAAGTTGCTGGAGAACAGATTATTAGCTCAGCTGGAAGACTCAGCATGACCACTTATTATATTTGGCGCTAATTTTCAAGAGATCACTGTTTGGTCCTTGTGATGTCTTCCTCACGTGTGAAGTGTCTCATCCTTCACTGGTCCTGTCCATCGTCGTGGGGTCACAGAGTTCACCATACTGCTATTGATCCACGGTGCTGTCATATCGATAGCCGAGCACTTGAGGCTGAGGAGCAAGTGTGAAGGTCACTGGATTAATGCCGGCTCCCCCACAGGAGGTGGGGCTTGGCAGGGCTTCTTATGGCTGACGGCAGTTAGCTGTAAATTGACAGTTATCTCAAATGATTGTGTTTATATTCGTGTCAATTATTAGCTGGAATTAACCACTAGTCGTGCAGATCAGGGATCAGTGCTCATTACTCGGCGTATAAATACCGTGCGAGCACAGATAATGGAACTTCTGTCGTTACCATTTTCCCCCAGTGAGGCTTTTTGAAAACTGGATACATCAGTTGTTGAAAAGTAGAATTTATTAAATCTGCGGGTTTGCATTGAGAATCATTTACACAGCATAAAATAAAATGGAATTGAATAACTTTTCACAGACAGTGGCTACTGGGGCAAAGGGAATTAAGAAAGAATAATGTTATGATGTATTGCCCTCGTCTCTGAATGCGCTTTTTTTTTTTTTTTCAAGTTCTGCTGCCATGGCAACCTAAAAATATAGGTCTACTGACTTAAAAGGAAGCAATCGTAAGGAGAATTAATAAAATGGATTTTATTGTATCTGGCACACAATTCATCTGGGTAAGGAGATTCTTGGCTTGTTTGAAGGTGGGAATGAGACGGTGCCTGCACAGCTTTATAGCGCATAGTGCTAGCCTGGTTAATTATGTGCTGGTGACATGTTTACTAGGCCTTATCTCTGTGTTTGCTCGGCTCATTTTTTTCAGCCGGTTGGCTCCTGCAATCCCTCATGCCACGCAGGGTAGTTAAATGAGGGCAAGGAGGCCCATTTAAACATTGATAATCCCTGCAGCGGCTAATTATTGATCTCTCACACTGAATTACAAGCAAAGCGAAGGGTGACATGTATGCAGGTGTACTGTAGCTCGCACACAATGCACCTGGTGCCACTTTCTCCGATGGAGCCGGTTTACCAATATTAAACCGTAAGAATGCCTCGTTCCAATTTTAGACTTAAGCCGATAATGAGATCTATTTTCTTTGCTCGCAGAGAAAAAGGATGTTTCCTCACCCATTGTGTTGGCGTTTGTGTTCACACGTCACAGTGCATGTGCTCGTCTAGGGCTTTGTCTGCACGAGAGGGTGCTTCACTCTCTGCATGATAATCTTAGGAACAGATTTCTGCCGATTAGCATGTTATTTAAACCGGCTTTGAAGGTATAGCCTTTGGGTCCAACAACTACTATGGCATCAAAGAAATTCCCCAAAGCCCGTCGTAAGCTCTTTTACACAACCACACAGGGGAAGGAGAATGAGAGCGAGGGAAGAAAAATGCTCCCTTTCTTCTGAAGGCAGGCCTGGAATCCAGGGAATGGTGAGCTATCTGGGGTATTGTCTTAGCTAAGTTGAATAGGAATGTATCACCAACCCCCCCCCCTGGCCTTTGCAAAAGCACAAGAGAATGTTCATACAAAGTTTTTTTTTTAATAGAAAGTATTGGAAGCCTTGATATGAGCACAGATACAATGGACGGATTGAATGTGGCCTCCCTTGTACCTTTCCATCGGCACTAACCTTTATCAAACTGAGAGGTGTCATGGTCTGTTGACACGTCAGCTGAATGTCTCATCAGGACGAGTGGAGTTTCTATTTCTCACGACTTGACTTCAAGTTGAGATTGTCCTCTCAAGGTTAGTGTGCCAGACACTTTGTGCTGCTGTTGCAATGATAGCTGTGAGTAGATGTAGGTACATCCTGGTTGGACATGTGAAGGTACCCTGCATTATGTTTCGTCTCAAAGCACTGGCCAGAAAGAATAAGACTGTTTATAAAGATGGTGTCTCCTCTTCCTCCCACGATCCATAAATCAAGCTAAAATATCACAAATAAGAATTCTAACATCCTAAAATGACCGAACCGTATTAGAAGAATGTATTTTTAATTCAAGGCTACTTTGACTTTGTAGTTCGGTCCATTTCCCATCCTTTAGCATGGTAGTGTTATGGTTTATGACTCTTGACATCATATTTAGGAAGAAACAATAATTATAGTGACACTGTAGATTCAGGAATTTACTACTTTACACAAAAAGGTGTTTGTGGTTGGATCTGGAAGGAAAGGTTGTGGTGTATGTGTGAGCAGCAGAAGCAAACCTTGATAATTATACACAAATATTAATAATAACAAATACAGCACATAAGGGGTGATTTGAGGTGATGGAAGAAGATGCAGCTGTTGACATGAAATCAGCGCAGTACCAGAGATGTCAGATTAAAATACTCATGGACCTGTATGAATAAGATTGGAAACGACTTGTCAGCTGGTAGTCGGACACTGATGGATGAGCCGGTGACTGTGAGAGATGGATGAAACAGCTGGTTCCAGTTAACCAATGCAAGCTTCCGTCATCTGTCGACGACTTGTCAGAGAAATATCTTAGTTCAACTCTTCTTTTAAAGGAAACATATTCCGCTCATGTTCAGGTTGAAAGTATTATTTTGTGTTATAAAATGTTTACTGTGGACTTTTGAACTTTACAACACAAAATACTGGAAAAGCATCGTACGTGTTGTTTTTTTTAATTTTTAGATTATGTACATTTGTTTCAATAGCATTGACTACATTTCAGAAAATGGCAGATTTTATGCAAAAATGACGTCCTCATCAGAAACTGCAGCATCATTATGTGTATCCACAAGTGAGATTCTGCCCCAGTGCTGGCAGATTGTTTCCTCACAGCCTGGCTTCTTCCGCTCACCTCTTATTCCTGAATATGAGAGTTGTGCTGTTCGTCTCCTCTCCAGTGCTGTCATGAATCAGCGGATTCATCCGAGTGCATTTAGGAGGTAGCGTGACATTTAGGAATGCCTCGACTTCACACAGGTCACAGGTACTTGAGATTAGAGCACACTCCGCTCTTTTATTAAACCGAATTGTATCGTAGTATAATAACTTTGACGGAATGAGCTTCTTCTTTCAGCCCGGCTCATATCAGCAGCTCATTTTCCTCTGCTGTATGACGCCGGAGTCTTTGAACCATAAATTAGGAGCTCGCTTCAGACACAACAGCTGTTGAGTTGCCGCAGAGGCAAGCTCGTCTTCCCTTGCTGGTGTTTATCTCCTCCTCGTATCTCTCGCTCTCTGCTCTTCATGAGAAGAAGGTTCCTTGAAATGAAAGCATTTTTTTTCTTTTTTTTTCAAAGGGCAAAGACAACGTTTGTAGTTAGTTGTTTTTTTACAGTTTAAGAAGAAACAGCCTCAACCGAAGCCTGATAATCACTTAATTATAAAGTCTATAGTGAGACACTGACCTCCACCTGCACAAAGAGAGCTGAGAGCGAGGCGGGCCCTCAAAGTGGTGAGATTCAAGAAAGGATGTGTCACGTTTAGTGCCAGTCGGAGATGCACTGATTAATAACAATCAGCTCCTACAGGAGGATGTTTGAATCAGTCAAGTGGCTGAAGATGTGTGTGAAGTTTGCTGCTGTCTCGTGTAGTTGTTAGGTCTTTATGTGATTTGAGGGATGACAGGTGCTTCAACAAAGAGGCCAGGTGCAGAGCATAAGAATCACATCATTTAATTTAACACTTAGATTTTGATGTTTGTGCATTTTATTATGTTTTAGATTGAGCATAATGTGACTGTACCAGGCAATGTTACAGCCTGGTGCATGTGATGGGGATGGTGAAAGGTAGAGAAAGAGGAATTGGTCATGACCTGTGAGAATCGATGTCTTCAAATGTGTCATGTGTATTCTTTACAGATTGCACTTTTTACTAGTTAAGTGCATCATAGAAAATAACATTGATCACTCAATGTCTTGTTGCCTGTGTGTGTGTGTGTGTGTGTGTGTGTGTGTGTGTGTGTGTGCGTGTGCGTGCGTGCAGAGCTGGAGGTTGCAAGAATGAGCACAGATGGAAACTTACCTGATCTGAAGTTCCCACAAACCGGAGGACAAGGCAACTCCATCCACCTTTCTGCGAACACACTAAAGCAGCACGGACGAAATGGTGAGTAGTCGGTTTCTCATTTTTATTGCTCTCCTATTGTTGGTTTGAAGTTTGGTTTGATCATTTTACAAACTGACGGTGAAATAAATTGTTTTTTATTGTATTACTTGAAAAAAACTTCAAGTGATCCTCTGTAATTAATCAAACTTCCCTTTTGTAATTTTTCTCTTTTCCACTTCTGGATGTGACATTGAACGGTGCTGCGATGGTTTTGTTGAAATTTCATTACTCATGCCGGAGAATCGCTTTCTAACTGCTGCCCCAGATCCTTGGTTGGGCTGCATATAAAGAACAGGAATAGCTCTGCCACTTTTAAATAACGCCCTGGCTGAAGCACTCTTTATGTTCAAGTGCGGCATCTAAACTGTAAACGAGGCAGTTAGACACAATACATGACCATCTTCAGGAACAACGCAGACCCATTTTTAGACTTTATTATCAACGCATGCAAATCAGAATCAAGCTGCGCCCGCTGCCTCTCCAATAGATGACTTCGTCCACGTCCAGCCGCGCCCGAGCGCATCATTAAAGCAGGGTGGCGGATATTTCCCCCGTCATCCGGCGCCGTAGCACCCAAATTGTTTTCTTTTCATCTGAGTGAGTGATCTCGGTAGCGGCGGGAGGCAACTTTCTTTCATATCAGTGCTCGAAAGTGAGACAGCAGGAGGCGAAGGAGATGTGTAGCAGAGAGAAAGAGAGGGGGAAATTATTAACAAGAAAAATGCTTGCTTTTGTTGGTGCAAATAGAAAAGTGGTAACCGCGTTCTTTGAATACTAAATTGAAATCAATGTTTGTTGATGTATCGACGGCTTCTCCTGTTTTTCCATTTTTCCTTTGTGGTTTTTTTTTTATCGCCGGCCCTGACACTGGTTTCTGTTTTGACAGTTTCACTGTATACACTTTTTGATTCCTGTGTTTACAACACTTCTGCTGAGGGATTGTTTCCAGTATTGTTATTTACAGAATTCCCCAAGTGTTGCTGAAGCTCAGCAATTCAATTTATAAGCCATTTAAGTAGTATATATCTGGGCTGCTTGGATGGAAGAACCATCAGACACATTCTTGTCACGTTAGTTCTTATATGTTGGACTTGTAGTTCAAACATAAAGGGAACTTAAAGCTACAATATACAGTTATATTGAGACGATAGAGTGTTTACAGCTCGAGTAAGGCTGTTTAATGTGTGAACATGACATTGACCCAGAGGCCGGTGTAAAGGCTGGTCTGTCAAGTTTACCACAGCTTATTGCAATTCCTTCAACACCAGCAGAACGCAATCTAATTGTCCTGATGACCTGCAACACACGCCAGAAGCAGCACCCGTTTCCTTCCTTGGCTCTTGAATCTCGTTATCTGTCCAAGTTGACATTTTCATCAGATGTTTTTTCGTCCTGAGATATTTGCTTTTTTCAAGTTTTGCATCCGTCATTTGTTAGATTCATAATTTTCCTGTTGTATTCTCACATGGGCTCTCTGATATTTTCCAGACATTCTGAAAAGGGGCTGTCAGGGAAGGTTTTGGAAAATGTCCTCAATAACAGACTCAGACATTTGTGTTCTCTCTGGAAAATATCAGGAAAATGTCTGAACTTCTGTTCTAAATCTTGCCTATGCAACAAGGTGAGCTAGTTTGCACCCCACTATTTAAGATTAAGGGAACTGGCATGTGCGGAGGCTTGAGCCGCCCTGCATTAGCCGCAGGTTTGATTTCGACCCAGCCCTTTGCTGCGTGTTTTTCCCAACATTCTCTCCCCCCATTTCACAATGAATGCTCCAAATTATAAATAAATATATAGAATATATATATATATAATACAAATCTTAAAAAGCAGCATATTAATTGCAATGATTTGAAAATGAAAGTTTCAACACACACATTTGAACATATTGTTTATTCTGACTCAACCTCTGCTCCAATGGTCCTCTTGCAGGTGAGATTCGGATTGCTTTCGTTCTGTACAAACACATCGGCATCTACCTTTCAACGGAGAATGCCAGCGTGAAGCTGGGCAGTGAAGCCCTGGCGACCAACTACTCCCTCATCGTGAACTCACCGGTAATCACGGCGGCCATTAACAAGGACTCTAACAAGGTCTACCTCTCTGACCCAGTCATTTTCACCATCAGGCACCTCCAGGTAATATTCTGCATCTGTATGAGTCTGTTTTTACTTTGATGTGACTTCCTCTGCCTGTAATATGTTTTATGTCTCTCTCTCTTAAACTGTCTTGATTGAACCATTCCATCACGATTTTCTTTATCCCTGAGGCGCAACAAAAACGCACAAATCCCATCTCAAAGCAAGAAAATTGAGTTAGAATGAGGAAGTTTTGTTCAAAGAAATGTGTGAAGAATTAAATCGTGCAAAACAAAATTGCTCACAAGGTGTTGCCGGGGATGCATGTTGTTGTTTATTAGTTTGAACAAATACCAGCCTGATCTCCTGAACAAATAGCAATCTTATTGAGCATCACTGGAGGCTGCTTAGTCATTGTGGGAGTCGCGACTTCTCCCTCTTGACTCCATTATCTCCTCCACACTCTGCTACCCTGGAAATATCCCTGTTTAGTCTGCAAACAGCGCCCTCAGCGATTATCAGGGATGTTGAACAGCCATAAGAGAATTGCGGCAGCGTCTCGTGTGTAGGAGGGACATGGTCGGAGGCAGAAACGGCAGAAGCGGTAGAAGCAGCGCACGGAGGAATAGAGAGAAAAAAGCTCCTGGATGTCAAAATTAAATGGCTGGAAAATGTCAGGGGTCAATGCCAGCATAGTTATTGCTGTGACTCACCTGCCTTAAGTGTAATTTGTAATTTGGACAGTAGATTCAGTAATTTTACTGTTGGTCAAATGTTGGGGCACCGGCTCTTTTATAACCTTGTCTTGCTCAGCCGGAGTCATTTCAATAAAACACTGCCCTTTTGGAAAAGTGTGTTTTCTACACTGTGGCCTCTTCCACTTATTAAACCGGAGAGCACCAAGGAAGGTGCTGCTGCAGTTGTCGTTGAATCATAATAAAGGGTTAGAAAAACATACACATTTACATATAGAATATGTTTTCTTTACACCGTGGGCTTCACAATGAATCATACAATCTGCATGATTACAGTTAAACTTCATTGGATGTCACTTTGACGTTTTGTGCATTGAATGTTTCCATCAAATCAAGACCTCCCACTTCTCTGGTAAACTGGTAAACCAGTCAGACGTGTTATTATGCGAGCGCTCTGATTAGCTGCTTATTTATGGCTGCGGGCAACAGTATTTTCTTATTGTTTTGACAGGGGATAAATCCTTTTATATTTGTATATTTTATCATCTTTTTCTTTGTTTAAATTTGGCCTTAAAGGCTTATTTATGCTCAACTTTCGATATGTATACAGAAATGGACTGAGCCTTCAGTCCATATTTGTGCACGTCCCCTCAAAGCTTACAGATATGGACGGAACAGATAAAACGGAGCATTACCACAGGAAATTATGGGAGGACAGTGTAGTTAGAAGTTCAATAGTAGTTCCCAAAATATGATCGTAGAAAATTCCTAGTTCCTATTTTTCTGGTTTCTTATACTGTTACATCTCCGCCCCTCAACCATGTGGCTTTGGATCACTGGTCTTCTGGGATGATGATGGTGATGTGTCCTCTAGTTATTGTTTCGCTTCCTTGCTTCAACACTTAATGGGACCAATTAAAGCCATTAATGGGACAGAGGTTTCATCCTATCTCCTTGCTGCTGCGTATTTTACACAGGGTTCGGGTGTGTGAAGGGTAAATTCAATCAGCGGCAAATTTACATTCACAGAGGATAAACCTTATTAGACTAATAACCCCAGAGCAAGTGTGAAACTATGAAAAACTACAGCTCCTCACGTGTTTATAAGGAAGCAGACGCAGTTAACCTTGGATGCTGCGAGTCACCAAGCGAGCACACTTTTCTTCATCTTTTCTGAAGCCACAAAAAAGAAATTGGGCACAAGAGGCAGAGGCTGTTGATGTATCTATTTATCAGCGGTTATGTTTTGCTGTGCTCGTGTGTTACCCAACCCCAGTGTTGCGAATGACTTTTACAAAACGGCAAGCAAGATAGCGGGGAGGCGTGCTCGTCGTTAGGGCCGTAGCCTAGCGCAGACAGAGGTGGTGCCCATTAAACAGTGGGGCAGCCCATTGTCACGCCATGAAAGTTAAAGAGAAAGGTCAGAAAAACACAAGGAAAAACAGGCATGTGGCCGCTTGATGCTGGATGACAGAAAAGCCACCTGCTACTCGCTTTAGAATGGCTATGGATTGTGGTGGGGGGAAATAGCCTGTTTGCAGGATGTTTAGTTCGGAGATAAAGGACGGTAGAAATGGACGAAGCTAACGTGTGATTAAATCCACATCCCTGTGTTTCACTAAGTGAAGAGACACCATGTTCCTCTCTTATTAATTCCCCTCTTTGTTTGATACCACTCATTCATTTGTGTCTATTTTTGCACTCTTAACAGCAATCCAAGGAGAACTTCAACCCCAACTGTTCATTCTGGAGTTACTCCAAGAGAACCATGACTGGCTACTGGTCAACGCAGGACTGCCGTTTGCTGGGCACCAACAGGACACACACCACGTGCTCCTGTACCCATCTCACCAATTTCGCCGTTCTCATGGCTCATGTGGATGTCAAGGTAGGACAACTTGTCTTTATGAAAAATGTACGATTTGAGTAATGGAAGAGAAATGAAAATGAAATCTCGGTCCATTCCAAGTACGGATGAGGATTTTAAGCATAAACCCAGTTCTAATGGTATTTGATTATCACAAGGAACTACTTGACCCTTCTGCTTCTTTTCTTTTTCTTCTTTTGTTGTTAAATGATGTGTGCAAATGTCTTTTAACCTTCTGGCAGTAGAACGTACTTACTACCAGGTATCTGAAAATAACGGAAGGTATATTTGTCACATCCTTAATTTGAAAATGACTGGTTGACAAGAAAAGGTTTGTCTTTCTGTCTGTTTCTACATATGTGTGTAAACAGGCCTGCATCCCGATGCATTTGATATTTCTCACTTGGACTTTAGCATTAACTAAGATAGGCTAATGTAGTAGAAGCTCTATAGTTCACACACAGAGTGGTATATTTGATTATTCATACAACTTAGTGTCTGGAAGTTGTTTAGAGCAAAACCTAACTGTATTTAATAAAGGATTAAGTGGGAATGCATTTTACAGTCAAGCCAATAAACCCTGTATCCTAATATTACAATTTGAATGCCCTGGTCCCAACTGTTTCTTTAACTAAAGTGTGTATTTATTAATGTATTTATTCATACAAAGGAAGAAACATTTAAACATTTACATTTGATCTCCACATTACAGTTTTCTCTCAGTGCACCATGTGTTTTTTTTTGCCTTCAGGGCAGCAACAGAAATTAAGTGAAAGAAGTACAGTACAGTAAGTGTGATGGTGATTATAGAGTAGGTGCTAATGATGGTTGTACAAAAGAAAAAAATGTGATTTGGCCTTGAGGTTTGTGCGGAGTGATGACTCTGGGCAGCTCGCTCTCTCAAAAGAAAAATAGAAATGGAAAGGAGCTGGGTGAGGAGTTCAGAAATGGGAAAAATCAACAAATTCAAAATGAAATACAAAGTCAGTGAATTACCGGTCAGGGACGAAGCTGCGCTGTTGTTCTGATGCTGACGGACAACTTAATTATTTCTGTCGCAGGAAGTTTGAGGAGCTTGCTGCTGACATGACATGAGTCTTTCTTGGTATCTGGTGTGGCATCTGTCTCTCCAGAGCCTCTCTCCTGAATCAGTGGGAGGAAAAATAAAATACATAAATAATTAAAACAAAATAATATCTCGTCATGTACACAACTAAATCCAAAATGTGTTATTCCCCTATACTCGGAGCTAAAGAGGGCCACTGTTTGTCACTCAGCAGCATGACTTTCAAACCCGTTAAGCTCAGGGCCGACGCCAAGTCTGGAATAGAGAGAGAGCGGCGAAGAATGGGAGCCTTCACGCAATGAAAGCAAAGCAGCGAAAGAAAAAAAAAAAAAGAAAGAAAGTAAGCAGTAAAAGGGGCGCTTTCAGTCGAGCCAATCCCTAACATTTTGGAAAGCCTGGCTCGCTTGTGGCTCCGCATTCACTGGAGGAAAGTGGACGGCGGTTACACCCCAGTTCTGACTGATAGCGTTTTTTTCTTTTATTCTTTATCGTTTCGACTTGGCTGTAATAAAAGGCAGCTTGTTGGAGGTTGCCACCAAATGAGAGATTCTGAGTCTTTTTTATTTGACAAACTGTCACTGTGTTGTATCTCTGAACGCACTGAATGGAGCAACAGTGGGAGAGAGAGTGTGTGTGTGTGCAAGCACAGGAGAGAGGCAAAGAGAGACATTGCATGAATTGATGTTTTTGTATCCATGGCAACCGAACATACCATAGCTCACGCTTGCTTTTGTTATTACTCATTACCCTCAGAGCAGCAGATTATATTCTAACCTTGTTTATTTCTCAGTGGCATCTCAGGAAGAGAAAAAAAGATGGGCAGGCTGTAATTACAATTCTCCTTTGGAGGACAGAGCTTTGCTACAGTATCACCATCATCTTTCATCTTGTTTTCTTTAGCCCGACCGATGACGTGCCTGGTAGTTTAGAATAATCACTGTGTTATATTACAAGATCTTTACGTTCTGCTAATAAACCATCGGCCATATCGCGCTTCGCAGTGTCACATCCAGCATCGAGTTATGATTGCATTCAAAGTGCCACATACTTCAGTCAAATTAGAAGAGGCAAAATGTCCCTCCTTGTGCATGTGACATTGCGAAACGCTGTCATTTTGTCCTTGACGATGATTTCAAGTTGCCGCACGGCTGCAGCCTCCAGTTTTAAATTCAAATGTGCGTACGTATTTCATCGCCCATCCGGTAGAAGATGAAGAAAAAGAAACCAGCAACTGTGTGAAAAAGTTGATTTGGAGGAAGTGATTTTCCCCAAGTGGGACTTATACATTAATTATGTGTAATCATACCTGACGACATATTCTACAGGCTTTAGTGTGTTTTCCTCACATAGACTTTAGGACTTCTGGCTGAGCTTTCTGTACTTTGAGATTTGTTATTTAACCAATGTATGTGCATTAATATGCTTTCTTAACAATAAGCCTTAATCAGTAATCACGCTCAATCTAACAATGATTGTAAGTGTGGGCAAAGTAAAAAACACTGCCCACACATTCATAAGCAGCCCTTAAAGTAGAATGCGGTGCAGAGAATGTAACATTATTAGACACCCTCATCAGTGGAGAAACTCCAGACTGTGTCTCATTGGGATTAATTACGTTTGAAGTCAATTAGCTCCTCAGAATTGTTTTTAAATAACATATTCTGGATGTTGAAATGTCGTTAGAAATTTCCGTGCGCCAGCACCCAAAGATGTTTAGAGCTTTGGCGGTTTCTGATGTAATCGCCCTAACCGAATTAGCAAACGTGAAATCTTTTTAAAGCTACACACTCACGAGGACTCATTAATGACAAACGTCTAAACCGAGCCTCCCACTTCTCAGGAGTGCACCCACTCGCACGGTATCTGTCAGACGCAGGCGATCAGGTAACCGCCACTTAGACGATCACAAGGGCATCGAGTGCTGCCTGTGTCGCCACTCGAGCCCTTTGTTTGCTAATTTTGAGCTATCTCGCTGGAGAGCCGATGCCTCTGACTGATCCCGCAATCTGAGCAGAGGAGCGCCGTTGGCCGCATAAACAAATTAAGACTGTACTCACAGACGGCAGCAGGCAGCTGCAGCGAGAGATTATGTGTCTCTTTTGTCTTCTCTGAATGAGCGCAAACAGGGTTTTTTCAGGGAGGGATGTGAGAGTGGGTGTTCTTTGATGTGACTTTGCTGATGATTCTAACCTCGAGATGTCCTGACAGCGAGCCTGGAGACACTTAAAGCAATCAAAGATGCAAAAATGTATCAGAAATAAGTGCAAATCACTCAACGCAATGTTGAAAGGCAGGATTTAGCCATATCAGCTGTGCACATTTCAAAATCAGATTGTGTGGCTTTAATATTATTTTTTAATAGAGGCGATGTTGACTTGTTTTTGATGCACGGATCAGCCTCTTTGTTTCAGGAAACCTTTCTTGGTCACTTGGGCTCGTTCCAGGAGCTGAATGAATGTCACAACAAATGCGCCACGGATCACTATTTCATCGAGGTTTAGACAAAATTTTGGCCTAATGGCCTAATGGCTCATGCCCATTCAAGCCCCTATGGCTTCTTACTGAATCCTCTCCTGAATTGAAGTCTGCCATTTGTGAGGATAGCCAGTGGGCATTAAGAAAAAGAAAGGGATCTTATAAATATGGGCTAAAGCACAAGCCCCAGCTCAAGAAATATAGACCTGCTCTGGTTCCTCCTACAGGCTATTATTTACATAGCAGATATGTGTGCTGAGATAGGCCCCAGGGAGGCATTGAGCTATTGGTAAGTGGCACTATTCTCGACAGACCAGTACGTATAAATCAGTGGCACATCCCGATGGATGATGGAGAGGGTGATATTTGGGTAACATCCATCACTGTCCTTACCGAACATCTCCACACTGGCACCATCAGACAGTAACTATGATGAGAAAGGACAGTCAAGGTTGGTTGTGTATTTTATGATGTTAAATATTGTATAAGCACGGCCCGGCACTATACACACAGCAGGGGGTGATACAAGAGCTCAAGAAACATCTATTTATATGTTTAAGGTGCAGACGGAGAAGACAGAGAGCATGGTCATTGCCATAGCAACCGCGATGCATGTGTGGACATCTTCCCATAGTTATCTCAGCTTGGAATACAGTCTGACATGTGCTGAATGTCAGCCACCGCCACGCAAGCGGGAATCTATCTCTCGGCCCTTTGGAATGTGACAAATTTGCCTGGATGCCTGATTCATATGTCCTCCCCACCACCGCTCCTCATCCTTATGCAGATCATAAATCCATGGTCATACCGCAGGTGAACTTGTCACATGACTCCCTGCGGCGGGCCACTGCCCCTTAGCTCAAATGTCTGCCCTGCCTGACCGTATTTCATGAGTCAAAGGCCCGGCTCTGGAGGCATATAGGGAGATTTATGCATTTTAATTGGATTGGCTTCATGGCCCCACGCTGAGGGCGGTTCTTTGAGGTATAAACGATTGATGCTCTCCTCTTCGCCACTTCACCCTCATGTGCTTTCTCACAGACCTGATTCTGAGGGGTCTGGCTCTAAACACCGAATGTTAAACTAATTAGGTCCATATGATTTGATATCAGTTTCAAACCGCTTGGCTAGAACCCCCCCCCCGATACCCGTCGACACACACCTGCACCTCCTCAAAACTCAGAAATCTTATTTTGTGCTATATGTGAGCAGATGAGTGGTAAAACCAATCTCCACAGGCAGCTGCAGAATGAAAAATATGTGTGTTTAAGAAATAAGAGAGAAGTGCAGGTGAGAGAGATTGGAAGACAAATCGAATGTGTACACCTCGCCCTGCTAAGTAACATAGATGCTGCATGACTCGGCCCCCCTCATAACAGAGCGAGGGATTTCAGAGCAAATTATGTCGGCCCACTTTGGAGACCCCTATACAGATCCCTCTCTTGGAGGTTTGCAGGTGTGAGGTTAGGTGTAGAGGCTCGGCAGATCACATAATTTGCCATGCTGTCTGGGCACAACTCCCAGTAAAAGGAAACTTCTCAGCAGAAACACTGGGGCCGGCGACGTCTCAGCCATCATCCACCTCCCAGAACAAAGAAATCATGCCACAGTAAATCCATCACCCAGGTGTAGATATACTCCCCACCCCTCCTCTCTCTGTTTCCATAGCTCTTTCTCTTGATCCACTGTTGCCTCTCTCTTTCTCTCTGACCCGGGCCCCTCTCCAATTTGAAGGTGAGATTGTGATGGATAGAGCCAGCAGCCACAGCACAGCTCTCTAGACCTCGCAATCCGCCGCAGCTACCGCGCCACCCTCCGCATCGATACCCCTGTCGTGCAGCGGACTGCAAACCGACCCGCGTGTCGCATGCACCGCACACCTACGGAGCGTGCGAGCACAAACATCAGCATCTGTTGCCACCCACCGCGTAGGCACTCGTCGAAAGTAAGGGGGCTGAAATCAGCTTTGCTTTCATGCAGACTGGCATACACACACACACACACACACACACACACACAGCCCCCCAGAACGTATACACAACGGCTCATCAGGCAGGAAAATCAAAAGAGCGCCTTCCCCAGACTCGAGGAGCACTGCGGCTGTTATTGTACCAGAGCCCCTTAATGATCAGCATCTGTTCCCCCCTCTCTGCAAGCTGAGGGTTCCACTAAACAAGGCTTTTGTGCGATACTTCATCTCCCGAGATTCCTCACTGTAACCTGACTGTGTGTGAGGGTGGGCGGCGAGAGAGAGAAAGAAAAAAACACCCGCGGATATTGGCGGTCCCTCTTCTCTCCCTGCCCCCATAGGAAATACTGCTGACTGTGGTCGAAGCATGACTTAAAGAGGCCCTTGTTTGAAAGACACACTCGACATACAAAATGCTTTTGCAGGATTATTTCTCGGCGTAAGCAAATATTTTCTTGGGAGTTCGTCCGATGCCGGAGCTCAGACTCGTCTATTTCTGGCCGGAGGCTAAGACTGATTACACAGACTTTGATATCAAACAGCCAAACTCTACCGGAAGTCTGCCGGGTAATATACACTGTCAGTGCTTGACGTATACACATTTGAAGGGAGTATATCTTAGATTTCACATGTGCTGGTTTTTCACAGCCTGTCAATGATGATTAACTGTCTGCCTTGAACTAGTGGTGACATCCATCTGTGCTGCAAAACTCCCTGTTTGATCCTCATTAACATTCAGGTATAGTCATCATGTCAAAACTCAAAAGTTCCACCCATGTAGTCGTTGAGCGCCAGCAGCGATGACAGTCAACTGGAAGGAGGTTGGCAGATTTCTTTAAAATTACCCACACCCCGCCTCCACTTTCACGTTTCACTGTTTAAATCAAGGCCCAGCAGGCTGAGCGAGGGAAGGGGACAATTCCTTTGGGAAATTAGGAAGCTTCAGTAGCTGACCAGAGTGTTTGGCTGCAGTAATTATGTTTAGTTAATAAATCAAGATGTCACTCTCTGGGTTTAATCTCCATATAGGATTTTTTTTTTAAGCACATCACATGTTTTGGTGTCTGTCCTGGCACATGATGTAGAATCGTCAGAGTGAATTGCTCTGGGAATTGGCACATCTGTTTCAGTAATGTGTGCTTGTGCAATGTTAAATATTTTAAGTTGCCAGCCTTTCTTGTCAGACGAGGCCTCACAGCCATGTCAGATGTCGACACCACCCATCACGCTCCAAATGTGTTTTCCTGAAGTGATTTTCAACTGGTTGTTATTTAACTATTAACGATTTAAAAGTGGATGTAATAGATGATGATACGACCTCTTCCAGTGGCAGGGTTTGCATGTTTCTTCTCTCGAGTGCCACCCGGGGTACCTGAACCCAACAGGCAATTCTCCGATAACGATAAATAAAGTTTATAGCTCAGGTAACGTGACCTGATGTGTATCGTGATGTTTTCGGATGACGTTGTGGTTAAAAAATGTACGATGACTGCAGTGCAGAGCAGCAGCTTGTAGTTTACCTTTTTCATACTTGCTCTGTTGTCTTAGAGCAGAAACAGAAAAACATGTAGATGAAAACAGCTTTATTGGGAATTTCACTGTAATAAAATGTTTTTTTACTTTTGGTGTGTTATGATGTTGCCGCAGACATCTTTGTTTCAATGTGCCTTTTCCCCCCCGTCTTCCTCAGTATCCCTGTGTGCACTTGGCTTTTACAGCCTGGTATAAATTTCCTTTCATGGCTGCGGCAGAATTACTGTTGATCCTCATCCATCCTGTAAAGCCACAAACGTAATGTCAGCAAAAGGGTTTTTAGCACCCAAAACTAGCCGTGATGGCAAATGACTGTTCGAGAAGACAAAATGATCAAACGGCAACAGTGAAAGTTATCGACCGTGTTGTGGTTTGATTGTGTTCATGTTGCGACGGCCTGAGACACCTGTGGCCCTCCGGACTGCTCACTTTGTTTTACTCCGTTGCCCGACCAAAACGAAACAATAGGGGGGCATTTTAGATTGATTCAGCCTAACTAATTCATGATTCATATCCACCACCTGTGGCTCGCCGTGGAGTGCTTTATTGAATGCACCCCAATTGGAAATAAAAGCTTTAGGGTTGTTGCTGGGAAAGAATGGTGATATAACTTTATGGGCACTTTTTCATTTTTTCCATTGATTGTTTTTTTGATTGTTTTGTATTTTTCGGCTTTAGAAATTAATCCCAGGACATGATGTGCATATATTATATCTTCCCTGCACTCAAATATCCTCCTTTTGGATACGACAATGAAGAAAATATATTTCTCCTGACATGACGGTGTTCTGTCTCTCTCCCAGCACGCAGACCCCGTTCACGACATGCTCCTGGACGTCATCACCTGGGTGGGGATCCTCTTGTCCCTGGTCTGCCTGCTCATCAGCCTCTTCACTTTCTGCTTCTTCCGGGGCCTCCAGAGCGATCGCAACACCATCCATAAGAACCTGTGCATCAGCCTGTTCATCGCCGAGTCCCTGTTCCTGGTGGGCATCAATCGGGGTGACCAGCCGGTAAGACAGCTGCTGGTGGAGACATATACCACTGTCAAGTATTCATTTATATAGCACCAATGAAGATAGGAGGCTACATAAAGTACAGTGAAACAGCTAGAACCTTAGAATGAGAAACAAATTTAAGAGCATTTGACAAAGAGTATTTTGTTATACAAGTAAGCGTGTACCTCCACCAAGGCCCAATTAGCAAGAATGTCCTTCATCTAGATCTGCACCAAAATTGAACGTGTTTTTTCTTGGCCCTGTGTCATCCACCCAACAAGATCTATAGAAGTGTGTACTGTAGTTTGTGTGTAATCCTGCTGACAAACAAACAAATCAACCAACCAATAAATGAACACATAACCCCATGTTGGGAAATATGCTTATTGGCTTTCATAGAGATAAATGATGAGTGAGGTTCATTTGAAGTCTCAGACTGTGACTTTAAACCTGTGGAATTAGGTTATTTGATACATTTGAAGGTGTCAAATGATGCAAAGACTTTAAAAAACAAACATATTGTTTTTTGGTCATGTGCCTGGTGGTTTTTTTTTATCTCCACTGAAATGACATTTTTTTCTTTAGATTTAAGCGCCTCTTTCTTTTTTCATTTTTGAGAAGATGTAACCTCTGGTGTCATGCTGCGCTTTGAGTGGTACGTCCCAGTGAGCACCAGCGGCCCTGAACATTTTCTCTCTTGCGTGCCTGAAAATACTATGTGAGAAGACTTGGATCTCTTTATTCAACAAATGCCCCCTCCACTGAGATCACTCCAGATTAATCTGGATGAAACTGCTCAATTCTGAATCCTTCTTCTACTGTAATAATCACAGTTTGCACTACTTTCCCGTGAGGGCTCGGCTGTGGTAGCATGTGGAGGCACACTGTCACTGCACAGTCATTGTCAAGCGTTGGCGCTCTGCACTCGCGCTGCAGACAAATGTGGCGTCATTACAAGTATACAGGACGGCGGAGGGGCTTTATTCCACCTACAGCTTTTTGCGATCGTGCCATTTTTGCTTGCTAATGAGGCAGAGCACTCAGTTAGCTTTGCTCTCGGCTGGGAAAAAAAATGTTGAGTGACGATAAATTTAGTGTCTGCGCACAGAGTAAAATGATCTGTGGCTATAAATTCCTAATGGGGTCACACGCTGAAATACGTCCTGTTCCTAATAGTCTTTTTAATAATTTGAGTTGTTTATTTACTGTCATTTTCCGTGTCATATTATCCCACACAGTTGGCAAATCTGTTACCAGAACAGCAGCTCTTCCCTTCAACCTCACGTTACCTAAACAAGTCCATATTTCGCTTTTTCAAATATCACTTTAAGCACCTCGACCAAAACTCACAGGCCGTAGTTTAGCAGCAGAGCTACTTCTGTGTGAAGTGAAAGCTAATGCTTTGGCCCTACACCTTTCCCTTCCATTACATTTTATGGATGTAATTCACAGCCCAGCTCTAAGATCACTCTCCTGGACTGCAATTAATGTCCACTCGACCTTTTAGATATTTAATTGGATCCATTTCAGTGACAAAATGCAGTGGTAAAGCTCAACTGTGCCAATAATTATATCAATCCATGTAAGTATTGTATCTTATTATTTTTGGATAGTGTGCAGGCACATGCATACATAGTGTTCTCAAGTCTCGTCTGTGTGTACATCTCAGCTCAGGAGGTGTAGCTATATTATTGTGCACCTGGCCTTCGTACACAATGCAATGAGTTCCAAATTGCTTTTGGACGGTCGACTTCCCTTCTTCATTCGTATCCCTCTTTCATGGACGCCAGCTACCAAGCAAACACACAAGACCACACGGGCGCATGAGCTGCAGCGATCTTCTGCCAGTTGCTACAGGCAAACATCCAGTCAATTCAGCCAAACAAAGCTTAGCATTGCTAATTGTTGGGAAGACACAAACATGGAGAGGTCAGAAAAAGCTGCTCCATCATAGCCGCACTTTGCCAGGCATACTCTGCCCTTTAGCAAGGCATTTAATCCTCCAGAAAACCCGCTAAATGCCCCAAAGTGCTTGGATTGAAACATGATTTCATGGGTTAATTCCAATTTTGCTCCCTCTTTATCTTTCTCATTCCCTCTGTCGCTATAAAACTTTCCCAGATTGCCTGTGCCGTCTTTGCCGCCCTGCTCCACTTCTTCTTCCTGGCAGCGTTCACGTGGATGTTCCTGGAGGGCGTGCAGCTCTACATCATGCTGGTGGAGGTGTTCGAGAGCGAGCATTCGCGACGCCGCTACTTCTACCTGGTGGGCTACGGAGTTCCTGCGCTAATTGTGGCGGTTTCAGCTGCGGTGGACTACCGAAGCTACGGCACAGACCGCATGTAAGTACACGTGACGCTAGCTTGTGAGCACATCATATAAAAGATTGCATGATTTCAGATTCATTAAAGAAAATTGGATATACAAAAAAAAACTTTATTATAAATAAATAAATAAATAGGAAACACTAATACATCAAAATATATAGAACGTGAAATAAGGATATAAGCGTTTTTCATATATTTTCTCCATAAAATAAAAATGTCAGATAACAATATGGTTGTGAAAGTCTCATATCCGCCAACTTATATAGATCTGGCTCCTGTCGCGTATTTGTTCTTCAACTTTTTTCCAACCAACTGAAACATAATTGTGTGTTATTTTTCCTGAAATTAATAATTAATGTGTCTAATGTGTTGAAAAGAAACCAACTTAACGCTGAGTTTTTGGCAAACTTTCTTGAATCTGGGGATTGAGTCGACACTCCGTTGGGCTTAGGTTTGGAAAAACAAGGAGAAAAGAAAACCCGCTGCCTCACCAGATCTTTGTGTGAGCATCTCCACCCACAGAGACCCCGCGAACAACTTAACAACTGTTTGTGTTGTTTTGAGGGGCTTTAACAATGTCACAGACTTCACTCCAACAGCTATCGCTCATCATCAACTTTTAATGAGGCAGAACGGTAACTCAAGCTGAACGCATTTCCCCTCACCGCTGAATTGACGTTGTTTTGACAGTGAGAAACTCAATCCTCAGAAGATGACGTCACTGGCTGGATGTCAGGCTTTCGTGGTTTGTCTCTCTGGCGTTTTAGGATGCACAAATTACAGCACGGAAATGGAGAGATTCATTGGAGGGAGTTTGAAGGAGAGATTGATTAACAGAAAGATGGGAAGCGGAAGAGACGGCCTTTTTATGTTTCCTACTGAGGCTCAATAAGATATAATTCCCGAGACCTTCCCTCTGAAACACAAAGTGGTCTATAAAGCAACGTAATGTCGAGCAGAGGAACGGCCTCCATTCCTCTCTGTTAATCTCCGACCCATCTGAAAATAATGAAGACCAGCATCAGCAGTTTGCCTCAGAGATGTTTATCATACACACGCGCACACACACCGCCACACAAACGCAACAGTGCATTCGTAGATTGGCGGGGCAATAGTTCTTGGTGATGGATGAGGTGATAGCTGCCACCGCCTGAGCCTTGGCATCATGTGAATAATTAAAGCCTGCCACCGGTGGAACAATTATACGCCGCCATTGAAGGATGAGGAAGGGGACGCGGCGTGACACGTGCCGGAGAGCAGAGTGTCGGCGAGGGCACGGAGTCCTGCCGCAAATTGATTCGGGACCGTGGCCGTGTTATCGCGGGTGGCCTTATTTTTTCCAGAAATATCCAACAAGCTGAAGTGAAAAGTGACGGCCGGGGCGACAGATGAATGAACGTTAACGTCCGGTGACTCATAATAAGTGAAGCATGTGTAAAAACAAGGCGGCAGCAACAGTATGAAGGTCAGGAGCTTGTAAAGTCACCTCTTCAAAGTCAGAGATCAAATAATTTGGGATCTGGGAGGTAAAGTCGGACTTCCATTCACCCTCTCGCAGTAATAACATTAAATGTGCCCTTGAGCCAGGCACTCCACTCGCCTCTACAGTCCAACAGGGCTGTTTAATGTTTGGCAACATGCGATTCTGTGTCATTAATCAAGTTTAATGAAAGTAATAGATCAACCAGCTGTAAACTCAGTGGATAGATTTAAGTTTTAGTGAGGTAGCTGCTGCTGCTAAACGGATCAAATGTGTTGAGGATGCAGAATAAAGATTAAAGGTTCACTGTGGGGTTTGCTTTTCAATTAACACAGTTGTGTTTGCGTTCAGCATTTCTCAGTACAACCATCATGTGCATCCTTAAAGGCCAAGACACACGTTCACTACAGTTCTTTCCTTTTCCCCTCTACACACGTGCAAGGTCAATCTTTTATATATATTGTTATTCAAATATTTTGATCTGCTTACATTCTATTGGATTTTAGATTGTCACTTTTTGTTATGGAAGCTATTATAACGTTGCGGGATACGGGAGTGTTTTTTTTTTATTTTTTTTATTTGCAATGGAAAATGTTCTTTGTCTGTTTACTAGAGTGTTCTTTGGCTGAGCCGTGTTTATCATCTGATTATCTCATGTTGATTGTTTGACATTCAGAGCGAGTTTATGGAATTATTTCTGCTTGTTTGTGACAGTGACAGTAGAATTGTTAATTATTTTTTGTTGATAGGATGATTCCTCCTTGAAAATATGGTTAGTATGAGGTTTGCAATACTAGTCTTGGTTCTCAGAATGTTTTATCCTCAAAAATGTTGCTCTTATTGTAAATAAACCACAGTGATGAGTTATTGTTGTCTCAGAGCAGACGGACATGAATGAGTTAAAACATGGAAAAGGATGAACATGCTTTCAATTGGCCTTTTATCTCTTTTTAGTGCAAATGCTCTTTGTAAGATCTCAAGGACAGTTATGTTGTGCATTTCTCTGCTCTACGGTCACATTTTATTGTGCAAGAGTACAAAAAAGCAAGAAGACCTTCCAAGAAGTGGCCTCCTGACATGTTCTGCTGCTTCCATCTGTCATGTGACCTCTGAATAGTAGGTTTTAGTTGAACAAAATAACTTCCTTGGAACATTGCTGCTTGGTGCATCAGCTTAAAACAGGAATTTGTAGAAAAAAGTAAGATACTGTATGAACACAATTCTAACCTGCTCAGCAAAATGTTGCTCCATAGCGCCACAAGTGGTTCAAACAGCACAGGATACCTTTAATACATTTTGAGAAACAACATGCATGCTTGCTCTTCTACTGAAAGAATTGTGAGACTATGAGTGCTGCAGAAGCCAAACACAACTATGACACGAGTAGGGGAGATCGAGGAAACATTTTAAAACACAAAAGAGATCCTGCAGCTTCTGCCAGCCACCATGTTTTTACATCTTTCTATGAACTGATGAAAAAACAACAACAGGAGCTTCAACATAATTTATAACAGCGACGTTGAGAGCTCACAGTTTGATGAGCTGCCCGACTTCTGTGAGTGTTCTCCAGCTTTTGTTGGTTCACTTCTTTGTGTGTTGTTTCTGTGTCGCTTCCTCTTATCCGCAGATACAAGTGAGCTGGAGACACATCAAGTCCGTTTGACAAAGGGAGCCGTTGATTTTTGTCCTGTCACTTCTTGCACAGTTTTCTCTCATTTTCGTCTGCGAGGTTTTTTGTACGACAAAAAGCAAAGCGTTCAAACTCGTCCGTGGCATTTGAGGATTTGAGCCTCAATTTCCACTTTGTGGGCTGTAAATAATGAAGACGCCTCATTTTGTTTTTCCTCCGAGGAACTGCGACCAAAATAGCGTTCATCATATCATAGCTCATTATATTTGGCTTTGTTTTGCTGTGGTATTGTGTCCTCAGAGTATCAGAAAACTGTAGTTTCATGGAAATCATTTTCAAAAAAACCCATTTTAAAACGGCATGCCGTATTTTTCAGACCTATATATCTGATAATCTTTGCGGTTTCGTCTTCAGCATCCCGGTCGGTGTTTAAATCCCAGTGGTGTGTTCCTATAAAGTGCCTCATACACTTCACTTTGTCCTAAAATGCAATGGAATTACATTTAATTCTCAGCCACTTCCATTTTCCCTCTCTGTCAGCCTGAATGACAACGCCGCTGTTCAAACTGTAATTTTCCAGTGGCCAAAAATGGAGGCGTGTATCTGCTGCAGTAGCGGAGATTAAAAGATTAATAATTCAACCATAGGTCATGAATCAAGTTTTTTTTTTCTCCCCACCCTTTTTCTTTTTACCATTTCAAAGAAGAACTGTCACCTTCTGCCAGCCCTGTTGCTTCTGGCCTGTATTTAATTTTACCCAGCGGAGAAGAATTGACTATCTGCAATGTTTGGATGTGAAGTATGAGGTCAGGAGAGCGCTTTATTTCATTATTGACATAATTACAGCAGATCTACAGTCACCACGGTTAACATGAGCATGTAAGACACTGTGTCGAGGTCTGTGCGTGGCCATGTCTGTCAGGGTCAAGGTCAATCTAATTCCTTTGGAGTGATACAGTTAGGATTCAATTGAGAACTAATTGAATCATCCATAAATTACCCTGTGTGATCGTAATTTGCTTCCTTAACCCGACAAATTGAAAAAAGAATTGAACTAAAGTCCGGTCACTGTCAGACATCTTTTACAGCTGCAGCTACATCCCATTCCTGTTTTCTTTTTTTGCACTGAAGGGTAAAAATGATTGCTGGCTGTATTTCTGCAAATTCTTACTTATATTTCAAGCTCCTCGCTTTAGTATGTTTTTGACCTGTCACTCCAGCCTCTCTCTGGATTCCCGTCCTCTAAAGCAAAGTATAAATCTCAAATCGTTTTCTCTCTTTCCCTCTCCTCACTTTCTCCACTTCACATCCCCGTCTCCCCTCACTTCCATCTCTTTCATTGCAGTTGCTGGCTTCGCCTGGACACCTACTTCATTTGGAGTTTCATAGGACCGGCAACCTTGATAATTATGGTAAGCGTAACCCTCCCTGTCTGCTCATTAACCCTACTTAGCCTGCGGGTCGTCGCTTTAAACGGTCCGCCGAGATCCTTTTTTTTTTTCCCAGCTCCGATCCTCCCTACCCTCTCTGCCCTGTTGAGCATATATGCCACCGCCGGGCACGGAGACGTCCAGAAAAACGAATGAGGGGTGCAGGGAACATATCGCAGCTTGTTACCCTGCTGCAGTCACCGGCTGCGACGATTCTGGAGGGGTGGGAGACTGAGAGAGGAGAGAAAGAGAAAGAGAGAATGAACTCTGCTCAGTATGCAGTGTTGGAGTAATCCGCACTGCCATTATGATTGATTTTGTTCCCATTCCAACTTGTACTCTGCCTTTTTCAATCTCCTCCTTGCAGACACAAACACACACGGGGCTCTGAGTGCAGATACACAAATATCACACACACTGTATGTGTCTTTCCACAACTAGGACAGCCCTAATTTTCTAATAAAATAGCTCATTTATTGATCCAGCTGCTTTAAATCTGATGTCAGACTCGTGTTCTTGTTAGATTTTAAGTTAATGCCGAGCCCTAAATATCACAGTGCCACCAGAGATTTGCTCCTAATTTTCCAAGACGCCACTCAGCTATGATAATTCATATTTGGAAGCAGGAAATGAACCTAAGAATATCCCTAGCGATGAAAAAAGTGGCAATATACTCAAAATACCAAAAATGTGTTTCTGCAACATTTTTATTCCCTCTCTTGCTGCCCAGCTACAATCTGGTTGCGAAATCCAGACATGAATAATGCACTTTCACGCTCCAGTTTGAAGTAATCATTCACAATTCATCTCTGTGAGCCTCATGACTCACTATATTTTCACTTTTAGATTTACAAACACGAGTATCTCTGCAGAAAAGAAGGCTAGAGCTGCAGATCCAGCTCTACCCCTGGGCATGTGTTGAGGGTCTGACCATATAAAGCAGTTGAAATTATGATTTTTTTTTAAACTTTCACTTCATATTAGGTGAATGTCAAATGCAAACAGCGAGTAAATGTAAGAAAAGTAAGTGGACGCTCACTAATTGCTGTCGATTTTTGAGGAGTCATTCTGAAAAATAGCCCCACTGCCATGATCATAGATTTGAGTCTACTTTTATGATAACTGACTGACTGGGAAAAAGGAAAATAATGAGATATGCCAGAGTGGCTCTGTTTGATGTACGTTTAGTTATTTTATTTTATTTTATTGATATGCAGCAGTCAAACATAACACCATGTTTTATTTTCCCTATTAATTATAATGTGTTTGGCAAATGTGGGTGTAAAAGTTAAACTCACTGAGATGGGCTTGATTTAGCTGTTTTGTAATTTCTATATCCTGTGCTTATAATAATATATAACACATTTCATCTATATAGCACTTGTCAAGCTGAAGTACAAAGTACATCCCAAAGAAAAGAGTAGATATAAGAATCAGAATCCCATGAAACCTCCATGGAGGGAAGATGACAGCATATATATCAACAGCACTATGCATCAAAATGATGTGTAATTAACTTTAAATAAAGAAAATAAATAGCTGTGGTTACAATCATTAGAAAAAAATAACCACGTGAAGTGAATATGTACTTCTACAAAATGATATAAAAAAAAACAATTCAATTAAATAGAGCAGACAAAATTCATTAAACTGTAATTTATAAATAGTGAAATAGTATAATAATAGTAATATTTGGTAAGTAGTTGCAGGTAATTAATAAAGCTTTATAATGTGGCTCAGGAGATAAAGCGGGTCGACCGTTTAAAAAAAAAATATTTTGTTAATAAGTGATATTGCAGGAAACACAAGGTTAGAAATGCTGAACCTTTTTTCAATTTCCAAAAAAATCCACCCAATGCCAGATGTTTTATTTTTTTCCAGATGTATAAACTGTAAAAGGCAGCAGCAGTGTGACAGTTGCTCCCTGCGGTTGCCTCTAAGTGTGAATATGACGAGACAAGTGTGAATAACTCAGACGGAAAGGCTCTCTCATTCAAGTATGCAGCTGTCTTGTCCCACCGTTCCCTGTTTGGTCCGCCGCAGAGTTTTCATAGGATTTCTCGCTCTGTTTGGCAAAGTGGGAAACCACGTCTGGCTGCAGCCGTCCAGCTTTGTGCTACAAAGTGCCCTGATTTAAAATGAATGGAACTGAAACAGGAAACACAAGTTTCATCCTTGTGTCTCTCTCTCTCTCTTTATTTATCTGTCTCTCTCTCAGCTCAACGTTATCTTCCTGGGCATCGCTCTCTACAAGATGTTCCATCACACGGCCATCTTGAAACCAGACTCCGGTTGCCTGGACAACATCAAGTAAGAGCACTCACATCATATCTCCGTCCATTAGAAATTGTCCAGAAACACGATTTATTTTTGTCACAGAGGATGTTTCAGTATTTGAAAGTGATCGGCTCGCTTCCACCACGTGCACCCCGACGGCGCTCTTGTTCTCAGATTAATGAACTGAGCAACTTCCGGGTGGTGCTCTGTATTCTCTGGCGTTCCTGAGCAATTCACGTTACCTTGCCTCCTGCTTTGATATTGCAAAACTTCATTAAAAGCACTTAAGGTTGTGAATTCCCAACCCAAGGGCCCGGGAGTCTGAGGCTGCAAGGTAAGCACCTCCCATTATGCTGAAAGGTCGTGTCAGGCAAGGTTAAAATCAAAAAGGTATTCTGTTGCATCTCCATCATTATCTGAGGAGCACTGTTGTCGGCCCAGGAAAAGGCCAGGAGACAATCTGACAGACCTGACCCGGTGTTATCTTGGTGTCAACATGCTGCAGATGAATATTCATATTGCGCTGGTATGTGTGTTTGAGTCTGTTTATCTGCGTATGCCTGGCTGCTTCCAGATAATGGGAAAGCTTGAGGGACAATGATGGTTTTAAAACTTAGACAGAAACTTTTTCAGGTGTTTACAGGTTTGTCAGTGAGCGTTTAAGGCATTTACATATGAATGGAACAAATATGTCAAGATTTTGCTCAGGTCAAGTTTCAGGTGGCAAAAAGTTACCATACAAGTTTCAGACTGTAGTTTTCTGTGCATGTGGACGTGAAGTGGAATATTTATTTGTTTAAATTTACCCTTAAAGGACTATACCTAACCGAACTATTAAAAATATACCTTATTATAAGACATTCATTTGTTATGATGTTGCTAATAGAATATTCCATTCATATTACTGGTTATAAAATAATGGGATAAAGCGATGAACATATGTACGCATGTTTACATACTGTGAAGGTAGGAATACTCCATGTCTTAATTCAGTTATTGCTTATTCTGAGTATAATCTTATTCAGGTTTAAGTAATTACGAGGAATTAATCAGGTTAATCACAAGATATTTGTGTCCATGTAAACCGAATCAGTGACATGAGAAAACCAATGTATTCAGGAATTGGCAATATTAGTATGCACACTGAACTCATCACAGACTGAGTCACTGATTAATGTTTGACCGAGACAAAGTAAAAGCTGTTTTTAAGATCTCTTGACCCTGCAGAATGACACAGCTTTCCTCTGTTATTGTCTTTGACATGAGACGCAGCTATCTGATGTCATACAGTCGCTCCACAGATGGTGTGAAGTTGTTTTCCTGCCTGTTGTAGGATGATGGATAAGGGTCCCTGCTCTGTTTTTGCTGTCTGCCTTCTTTTTTTCTTTTTTTTTTACACGCTCTGGACACATTAGTCTCCTTTATAGCCGGCGTTCTGGCTGTTTTTTTTGTTTTGCATCACATCGCTGGTTGTGGCTCAGCACAGTGGCTCCTGTCTGGCCTGCACAGCGATGCACATAAAGAAACAATCTTCTCAGAGCATGATGTAGCATTAGCTGCGGCGTTTCAGACCACACTGTGCCAGTGTGTTTTTCTATCACAGATTTCACTGCAGGTTATCCTGAGCAGACCCACGGCCCTGAACCTGTTTTTAACGGCTGCATTTAAGCGGGACCAAAGTGTGGTCACCTGAAGATCGCATGTCAGAGGAGGGTGTCGTCTTCTCACCTTAGCTAGATGTGTTATTTCTGTGATGCAGAAGTTTGAACACATGTTGAAATCATGTTATCAGCATTTTATAACTTTAAATGTAATGTAGTTGTAATGTAAATGTTGACTACATGGAGGGTGTCTAAGTGAAATCAGGCTGCTAAACAGAAACTTGTTCTGTCGTGTGGCTCAGGAGATAGAGCGGGTCGTCCACTAACCAGACAGAAGGATCGATCCTCGGCTCCTCCGGTCTGCACAGGACGAGACTCTAAACCTCAAATTACCCCTACGGCTGTGTATGAATGATGTGGGTCGGAAAAGAAGCTCTGCATGAATGTGACTTGAAGTCTAAAGAGCTTTCAGTCATCTTGAAGAACAGAAAAGTGCTATATACTGTGTACATATATACATATTTAGAGTAGAAGGTAGACCCAGTGTACTATTTATTGTAAACTTACATTAAACTAATATCATGACCTGTTTAGAGAGAACAATAAAATAAATATGGTGGGAGGGCATCTGTCCTGAAACTCGATAAATGGCAGTTTTATTATTATTTGATTCTTAAATCAGTAGAATCGTTCGGCCAAAAGACAGGTTGGTGTTTCCTACTCTCTAGGATGCCATTGATACAATGTTATACCATTTAATACAAGTAATGAATCTATGCACTCAACACATAATATATGTTATAAACCACATTTACCTCCAAAGATCCACTTGAAGTAAACGTGGGTATAAGTTTGACATGTTGCTGTTTTTTGAAGATTGATATAATGCTTTAATGCAGCATATGTTGCCGGGTAAGAATTTATGATTTTTAACTATTTATAACCAAACATGAATTTGTGTTGTAGTAAAAAACTAGTTTGAAATATACTTTACAGACAAACCTGGTAACAGGTTTATGAACAGCTGGTCTTACTGTGCGTTGATCCTTTTCCATTTTGGCGCACTGGTCGATATTATAACGAGGTTCCCTCCTGCCATGTTAATAATATAAATATCCAAACCGCCTCCTGCAGTGGTTACATCCATGTTCTATTCTTCTGCCCAGGTTTTTCCTTCTCATCAGATTGTGTTGAATCACAGGCTGTGTGTTTTGCTCTGATTTGATTTTGCCGTTTAGGGCAAAAAAAAACAAATTAATTGTATTCACTTGGCTAAAATGAAATTACTGAAATTGGGTTTAAGGGGTGGGAACTGCTGTAGAAAGTGTTGACACAACCATGAAGGTCAGACACAGAGACTTGTCTTGTAAATGATCTGCTTCTACGTTTGGCTTTTCTCTTGTTTTTAGTCGGTGGATGACAAACACGGAAACGAGGCCGTCCTTTCCTCAGCGTGGGGCTCTGATCTCCAGCAGTTCTGTTTACAGAAATATAGAAACCAAACATAGACAAGACATATACATGTTTTCATACTGCGACAGAGTATGTACACTGAATTTGCAAATAAACACGCAGGCCCGGTCTTAAACATGAGAACTAGACATTGCAAACTCTGGCAGAAATATATGCAGCCCACCTGCAGCTCACACACTTGGCCGGCTCCGGAGCTCATGCACTGACTACATGTTCTGAAAATATATTGCATAGCCGAGCACTGTGATACAGCTCCAGACCACAACTGGACCAGAGCAGCAGGTACATGGATGAGCTAGTTTATTCTTGCAGAGCGTTTTGTTCTGGCATGAACGTACCACAAATTCTGGAATCCGGTTTGATAATCTTCAGGTTTAAAATGATATATTGCTTTAAGTGCATGAATGTATACTTTGTATACTTCGTCTGTTTATGTACCATCTTTGTGTAGAGTGCCCTGAAGAAAAGAACAAATATTGACTGCCAGAGTTCTCTGTGTCATATGATTTATAACACTGGCCTCATGTAATGTAGCAAACACCTGACCTCCTGACCCCGCAGCTTACTGACTTCGAAACCATCTGCAATGTTTCAGATCACCATTGGAAAATGGTGTAAAGCCGCAGCGCTTTTGTCAGCGCTCATTCATCTGATACAGTTTTTAAGTCGGGAGCCATTACTCAACACGTCGCCGCTCAGGCACTGTCAGCTAAACGGCGCCGCTTAGCCGAATACATCGACGCATCACAACAAGTGGTGGGAGACGGAAAACGACAATAAAATGTATTGGATCCTTGTGATCTCTAACTATAAAAGCTGATCTTCTCAGAATCATTATCGCCTTATATTTTTCTTCGACAAATCAAGGTGAACCGGTGTAATGATCACGATAGCGCAGGTTAATTAAGTCTCTTTAGCTTCCTTTAATGATGTGTATCTGCTTTTGTCTCATCTCTCTGCTCTTTGCTCCTCTTTTCACGGTTTGATGTCACGTTTTCTGTTTAGATTTCATCACGCAGCTTTGTTTTAGTATGACTGTTTCATCTCTTTTTCTCCTGTGTTTCTTCTTTTGATTAGCTTCCTGCCTGTTTTTGTATCTTATGCTGTTATTATCTGTAACATCTCTCTGTTTCTCATCTTCATCTGCTTTTCTTTTTTTTTTCCCACCTCTTCCTTTTCATTTTAGCTACCGTTATTATGATGGATGTGTTATTGTAGAGTGGCACTGGTAAGACGTTTCTCAGTAGAGGGTGTAAAGTAGAATTAATATTGTGTTTGATGTGTTTTTCTCCCCCCTCCTCACCCGTAATGGAGACAGCGGCTGCCACTGTCCTGTGATTCATGGATCACAACATGACTTTTAAACCGGTGCGACTTTAAATACCAAACTTGCCTCTGAATGTGGCACATTTAGAACATGATGGACGGAAAGTGTGAATTACGTCTCGCGCAGCTTCCCCTCGATGCAGATAAGAACTTCAAATGATAAATGCTAATGAGGATGATGTGAAAGATTTAAAAAAAAAATCTCCGCCAACATAAAAAACTTTGCACTTGATGTCTTAAACACTTTGAGGCGATTAGCATTTCAAGCACACCTTTGGTTTAATGATTAACACCCCGTTGCATTGATCACAGTGATTTTTCCCCCTCACAGAAACGGCCTGTAAAACGTTGAAGGTTGAATTGACCCATTGCAATCTCATACATGAATGACAAGTGGCATTGCAGTGAATGGCACCTCTGCGAAATTAAGTCATTTTGAAGGAAATTGGTGGTAATTTGATGTCACAGTCTGAATTAGTTCTCCCCGACAAAAATTGCAGCTTTTTTTCACGCCAGTTTCTGCTCGATGATTAGCACAATAAAGAATCTCGTGCTTATTTTCCTGCTTCAGATGCCTAGAAGCGCTCGGCTGCAGCCCTCAGGGATGGATAGTATATCCATATATCGCACAGTCGCTCAGATGGATCTATGGTTGTGTGACGAGCACAGTAAATGCTTAAACTACTCATATTAGATAGGCAGGTTTGTTTGAAAAACACATTTAATTAGAATTATTCATATCTCATATAACGTAACGATGCCAAGAATACGAGAGGATAGACGTGATATTGTATCTGCAGCGTTTCGGCGTGCGGCACAACTGACAGGATAAAAACACTGACGTCTTAGTGTGGAAGTGAGCTGTTATGCTTTTCAGTCATTGCTCTGCTGTCTCAGAAGTTTTTTGCCTTCAGGCTCCTTCCGTGCAGCCCTCAAATTCATCCTCATATTTTTATCTGATAACTCCAGAGGAAGATAAGCCATGTGCGATATGAGCTGCAGCCTCTTCATATCCTGTCCTCGCGGATGCATTTCTTATGACCTCTTGCGTCTTTATCAGCCGCCACCCGTCGGAAACAAAAAAAAAAGCCGTCACTATAGTTTAGAGGACAATACTCTGTTCTCTTCTTGCCCACTGCTTGTGTTTCCGTGTCCATTCCGGGGGCAATCGCCTTGATGAAGTACCTCTACCACCAGGTCATTAAGACAGCCTTGGGAAAGTTATGTTTAATGGTCGCCCCGGTGAATTCATAAATCATTTATTTTGCCGCACACCTGGCCCATTTATAACGGCTTAAATGTGAAGGTCTGCCAACATTTATGAGAGGAGCTAAGATACTCGTGTGAACTGAGATAATTACGCTGTGCACCTGTAAATCAACAACAGATCCCTTCCCAAAGACACAATCTGGCCTTCCTGTTTAGACGAGTATACCTTGAATGTAGCTTTAATCTCCTCTGCAAAAAAAACCATCTTCCTTCTTTGTGTATTGTTTCCCTCTTAATGTCTAAATATCACACCTCTCCATTTCTTTGTCCTGTGAGTCGATCTATTTCTGTGTGTTCGTTTATTGTTCTTTTCTGTTCTTGTCGTGTTGCTCAGCTATCAGGATTATGAACCTGAGATCAAGTAAGGCAAAATTGGACGTCGGTCCCTTGTCCCATGATGCCATCTTTCATTTACTCCCCCCTCCCCCCTATGAGCGAATCGGGACCCGAATCCATCTCGATGTCGCTCTGAATCATTAACATGATTTATTGTGGAGTGCTCAGTCATGTTGAAGGCCGCATTAGTGTGCACACACCACTCCTGTGTTACGTATACATGGTCCGCAGATGTGACAAGCAAGATTAGTTTTAAATGGCACCTGTAACCTCACTGTGCTCTCTTCAGAAACATTAGTACTGTAATGCAGACGCAGCGCTCTCATGTTTTTCTATCAGCATCCAGCTCGTGTAAGCAGCCATTTTACAGACCTTCATTAATTAATCTGCGGTTGTTTGATCATCTGTGGCTTTTTAAATAGGTTATCATCAGCTAAAGAGAAACAGGAACATGAGACAAGGAGAGAAACACAGATAATTAAGTTCTTTTTCATTTGTGATTAGTTTCCTTTCCCTATTCATTTGTCTTGTGAATTTTTCTCCCTCTCACACAAGATGTGATTGAGTTTGTAAATTGTTTAATTTGTTTAATGCAGTAAAGCTGCGTCATGCTAAATTCAATATTTTGGTTCAGCTTTCTCTGCCTCGTTCAAGCCACGTTTCAAAACATTTTGACCACATTTTCTCTGTCAGAAGGTTTATTTGTTGTTATGTTTCGATTCCAGATCATGGGTGATTGGGGCCATCGCCTTGCTGTGTCTTCTGGGTCTGACCTGGGCCTTTGGTCTGATGTATGTCAATGAGAGCACGGTGGTCATGGCCTACTTGTTCACCATCTTCAACTCGCTGCAAGGAATGTTCATCTTTATATTCCACTGTGTCCTGCAGAAAAAGGTATGGATGCGTGACTGGATGACGTAAATTGTACTTTTAAAATGCTAACATATCATAAGCAAGTACTTCCTTACTTTTACTTGTGCATGTGTGTCTATTCATTTTCATTTTACCCAAGTAAAATGTTTGACTGCTACTCCATATTTATTTCAAGCTTCAACAAACATGCTGGAAAATGTGACGATCATTCTTATTGTTAACGGTTTGTGCTGTGTGTGTCTTTGTCCTGTTTTCGTACAGGTGCGTAAGGAGTATGGAAAATGCCTGCGTACTCACTGCTGCAGTGCGAAAAGCGTGGACAGCTCCATCGGCTCTGGGAAAGGCACGGCCTCTCGTGCTCCAGGACGCTACTCCACAGGGTCACAGGTGGCTGGACACTTTTCTTGTTCCCTTGTATTCTCCTACTTTTTTATTACTTTACCTCCCGGATATATTTTGCTGTGTATTTTTTTTTTATCAGGCCAGAACAGATTTATGCTTATTTTGTAAATATTAATCTTAAAATACAAAATGCAGGATCTCAGTAGGCACACAGCAGCTGGAGGAAAGAGGGTACATGATTCTAAATAACAGACTGATGTGCACCTCTATACAGAACAAATGAGAAAATATCTTAAAGGTGACTGTGTGTGTGTGTGCGTGCATGATAGATTTCAAGGGAGTGTAGCAAATCTTCTTGTTTGGAAGCGATAACAGGAGAGTGTAGCACTTGTCGAGTTCAGCATTTCCTAAGTACATAAAGTCAGTGTGCAGTTCATTTCATCGCAGCAGGTCCGGGCTGCAAACTGGCAAAGCAGCACTGAGTCACCGACTGAAGCGTTGGCTCGAGCTTTGTGAGGAATTTGTTCACGGTCACGAACGCAGATCCAAATGTCTCTGCCAAGATATGTGGATCCTGTGTGCGAGTGAGTCTCCTGGTGGAGCGAATTGTTAATTGATTCCTCCCACAGTTATAAGAAGTATAGGGTGAATAGCCTTGATATACTATAATTGAACATCACATCCATATTCCAAAGAGTGTGATTTCCTCCCAGTGTTCAATTATAAATAGTCCTCAGAGTGGAGCATGCAGTGGCGGCCCACGATACAAGCTGGATTCTGCATGCAGATCAAAGTGTTTAATTATACACAGAGCTTTGACGAGACGGCTCTAACCTCGGTCGCTTTATGCAAGTGACACAGGAACGGAAACCCTCGTCAATATGAGGCTGTTTGTCACAAACTCTGGGACATGTAAATGAATGCTTGATCAGCAATGTACATGCAAACCCTCCGGCTGTGAAACATTCACGTGTCCGAAAAACAAGAATAAATAGCAGTGGAGTCATTTTCAACCCATCTGGGGAACAACGTGACGTATGGTATGTTAATGAGATGTGCTGTGTCAGTGTTGCTCTGCACGGGCTTTTTCCCCTTCATTCACTGTCTGATGTATAATGTTATGTCTAGTATGAAATGCACTTAACCTCAAACTGGAGTCGACACGACAACAAAATGTTTAAATCCAAACAGTTAAAAATGAGGTTGTATTTCACACAAAATGATTTCGATCCCTTCTTATAGTTGACCCTCACTTTCTTGGCTCTTGAACCGTTTATGCACGGATGCTGTTTTAAAATAGATTTAAGACCAGTATATCTGGAAAAAAAAAAAGAATCCCAGTTAGGGGGCAGTTGCTTTAACTCCATCTCAGGATGGAACATATTCCGCTCTGTGGTTGGTTATCCAGCCCGAGGGACTTCATCATAATTAACCAGACTGAGCCCTCTTGGATTGAGCCTTTGCAACCTGACACACTGATTCAGAGGAGCTTGACTGATGACTTTATTATTGACTACACCTATCCCAGCACCAGCGCTCATCTTTAATTGGAGGTTACTTCTCCCCTCAGTTGACACGTCTCACGGTTTAACTGCTCCAATCAAAAGCTGACATTTAGTTTTTCTGCCTCATATCTTAGCCTTTATCGTGTTGAATAGCAGGTGAGGAAAATATGCAATATGCTATTTATATCCACATCATATTAATGCAGTTAAATGTCCATCTTAATCCACGCTGTAATAATTAGCTGTACTAGAAGGAAATATTCTGATGTGTCTTGACATGTTGTTTGTCTCCACAGAGCCGCATTCGTCGGATGTGGAACGACACGGTCAGAAAACAGTCCGAGTCCTCTTTTATGACCGGCGACATCAACAGCTCCGCGTCACTTAACAGAGGTACTTGGCCCTGCACCAAATATTTTCTTAAATGACTCTGCAATGCACCAGCTTTCCCCAAATTACTAATGCAAGAGATTTTCTTTATTTCCCACAGCAGCTCATCTGTTTTTCTTGATGACACAGAGGCTTTAGAGCATCAAAAGTCTTTCATTTTAATAAGTAAAGCTTTCCAATGAAAACCCCAGCATCTGTAGTCAAGGCAAAACTGCAGCTTCACCTCAGATACTCAAATACAAGTAAAAGACACACTTGGCTTTTAATCATTAAATATTGAAGCAAGGTCTTAAGAATGTGTCAAAGCTGCTGTCAGTCGCCCTGCAAGCGTTCATGCAACTGAGGGTGTTTATCAACATTTTTGGCTGGGTGAAAGAGGACGTGATTGTGAATACAGGGCCGGGATTGAGAGGGTAAAATCCTTTTGGTGTCACACTGGTTCAGAAAAGAGTTTATCCTGTTGGCTTTTCTTGAATCTCTTCTACCATGGAGTCATTCAAAGGAAAAAAATCTAAAATGTCTCTAAACAAAATACAGTAAAGTCCAACCATTGACACATTTACCGAATGGACAATTTAGAGTCTTCAGTTAATCTATAACCCCAATCTGCCTGTTTTTGGACTGTAGCTAGAAAAAAAACACGTAGACAAAGGGAGGGCGTTCAAACTCCACACCCGCTTATGAAAATCCTACTTTTGTTGCACGTGATAACTGCAAAAACTACCTTTGTTATTCCCCGGCTGCAAAATCCTTGAAATAGAAACTGGGCATTAAATCAGAAAGAAAAAAAAAACTGCTGAATCACAAACTAAACTAGAGAAGCACTCAGCCGAGTGTGTACCATCGCCAAGGCCCAACAGTCCCCTTAAATCCAATTAAGCTGCACCAAAGTTCACACACTCATAGATATCAGTTCCCGAAACACGTCAGATTTTTTTATCATCAGGAGCCATGAATTGTTCTTTGGGAAAACAGTGAAAATGTTGAAAAACAGCCCGTCTCACAATGTAAAAAAAGAAAAGTGAAAAAACAATCCTGGATTACATCAAAAATTTAATTGGTTTTATCCTCACCCAACCCAAGTGTTATATAAAATCAGTTCAGTAGGTGGATTCAGTGGAATTTCCTCCCAGAAATATGAAAAAAAACATATATTTGACAGCAACAAATTGATTACTGTAGTTAACTTACTGTACTAGAATCCAGACTGCATCGCATCAGATAGTGTCCCTCAATGGAGGGTTTGAGTTCCACTCAGCTTAGGGTCTAAATTCACTCTGGGCGCCTGCAATGCGTCGACACTAATACATAGTTAAAATGATGGATTAATGTATGACACACAGAGGAAGTTCAGAGATCTCAGTAATTAGGCGTTCGGCTTAGCACCATCAACAGATCCAGCTTTTATCCATGGTGGGGAGGCTGAGCCGCGGCGGGTGGTGGAGTGGTAGGGTCGGGGGAAGAGGAAGTAAAAAAATCTATGTGGAAGTTCGATAAAGACAAGAGGAGTTTAAATTATTAACGCACTTTAATACCCCTACCCTGATCTGGTAGAAACAACACTCACCAGGGCCTCAAGTGTGTATCAGTAGGCGCCATCGTCAGTGTCATAAGGAACAGAAGCAAACAGAATCGCACATAATTCTTGCTGATTTCCCCCCTCGCACGCTGGCTACTCCCCCTCTCCATCGCCACCTTCGCATCCGAACACTCTCGAGACGAGCGTGGCGTCACGCAATCATCTCGATAGCGTTTGCATGTTCAATTTATCCCCCCGGCATTCAGGATTATTGCCGCACAATCAGTGTGTTTTTGGAAACGGTCCAATTTCTCAAACACAAACACAGCGATTTGCGGGGGGAGGGGTGTCTGTCACTGGGAGAATTTAAAAGGGGCCGGTGTTTGTGGAGTACACTGTAATTAGGGCAAGCGGCGGCAGCAACCACATTCTTTTTTTCTAGTAGAACATTGATTTCGAAGCAAAAACATAATGTGCCTAATTAATACTCATCTAGAATTAAAATAATGCTGAAATATGAGCCCAGATCAGCAGGAATGTAATCATTTTATTAATCCTTTCACTGAGCATAATCTTCCAAGATGGTTGATATTTCTGCAATTAAAATTCTCATCAAAAAGTAAGTTTGAAAAGATGGGTAGAGTCACAATGTAATATTTATATATATATATCTCCATTCGGTGCAGTCTAATTGCTGTGAACTGCTTCTTCAGATACGAGATGTTTACCCGCTCTGAAAGCACATACATGTATCACCCTCACAAGTCTTGTTTTGAGCTTCTTTAAAAATAAGAGCATCATATCATGTTCACAGGAGGAGGGAGGGAAAATAACTGCTTGTAAACAGGAAATGAATGCAAGTCACAAACACTTCCAGCATACTTGATTTTGTGCATTATGTATTCAAACTCTTGAAAATAAATTATTTTTTTTCTCACCAGTGAGGAAAAACAAACATCAGGGAATCTGTAGCATTCATGTTTAGGATTGCAGCCTTCAAATCGGCAGCTAATCACGAGGCTCAGACTGTGAAGGTTGCTCTGCTGCGTTGGTATGTGGTCGGGAAACTGATGAGTCATTCTCGGCAAGATCCTGGCAGCGTGTGAGGACAAGTGGCGGATAAATAGAAAACGAGCCCGTGTTGAGTTTGCGTGCGGGAGGCGGGGCTGCTGCAGACTAATGACCATCATGACTAGAGAGGGGACACGTCGCTTCATTCAGAGGTTATTTCAGCAGCTGCACAAAGAGAACAAGACCAAATATGAACTTTGCTCTGTGGAGAGATGGAAATAATACAGCTCGTAGGATTGGCTCAAAAATGTTCAATGTGGAGTAGTAGCAGATTTAGCTCTTTGAAAATTCTCGGTTATTTTTGAAACAATGACATATGACTCATGTCTAGTCAGTGACAGTTTTGCCAGCTGACATTCTGACTCAAGATAAAATTAGCATCATGAGTCAAGACTGTCCTCTAACGAAACCATGACACCATCAAAGTTTGTTACAACCCAGAGCTTTGTTTTGTCCTCGTCAGACGCGTTTACTGCAACAGGGAAATTGTTAAAACATTAAAATGAGGTGTAGAGCACACGGGAGGAAGGAAATCACGTACAACATTTCGTTGCGTTTTTTGTTTATAGAAAATCAAAAATGGCGTCTGCCCTTTTCACTAAAAGCTCGCAATTCTCTAAAAGCTCACATCTTTGTTGGCGTCCTCTTTTTCATCCTGAGATAATCATATTCTTCCAGTTTTGCGTCCGTCACTTGAAACACGTCAACACACCAACTTCTGATATTTTCTTACCGTATTCCCACATGGACTCTCGCTGATGTTTCACAGATGTTTAACTCTGGCAGGAAAAGTTCTGGATAACTTGTTTTCATTTGCTTATTAATTTCATTCTTTTAAAGACCAAACAATGTCCTGAGAAGTTGTTGTATTCTGTCCTGTTTGAGTCTTTGCTGTTTTTGTAATTTATGTCTGTTAACACTGGTATGCTGCCTGAATGTGGAGCTCAGAAATGGGCTTAATACTAATGGCCGGGATTAGAGATAAATCTAATACACTCTCCATCGGTCCCATTAGCCATGTCGGTTCAGCTCTGCCACTTTCATGTAGCAAAAAAAAAAAACCCTCACATTAATGATCATGTGATCATTTGGGTGTTAATGGCTGTCATTGCTCAGCTGCATCTGCCTAACTGATATGAATGTTCTCTCTCTCTTCCTCTGTCTGTATCTCAATTTATTTTCTGTCTCTCCGCTCTCCTCCTCCTGTTTCTTTCTGTCTCACCCTGTCTCTTTCTGGCTGCTCCAGGGGCTATGGCTAACCATCTTATACCAAATGCACTCCTACGTCCTCATGGCACTAACAATCCCTATAATACATTGCTTGGGGAATCGGCAGTCTATAACAACCCTCTGGGCATGTACAACACACAAGGTGTGCTAGCTTCTTTTCATTCTTTAACATTGTGTCCAGGGCAGTGTTTTTTTTTTTCTTTCTTCCATGTCCTGGAAAAACTACGAGGTCTCTTCTCTGTTCTATGATAGGAAAGCAACTTTTTGATTGGAGATTTAAAAGTTATGGACTCGAGCTAAAAGTCCAGTGTTGACCCTCGAGAGTTTTTACAAGGCTTAAATAAAATTAAAAAAAACACTGCCCCAAATGTTGTGTGTTATCAAACTGCAGCTTTAGCACAAAAATCCCCCAGGTTTGATCCGTGGGGTTTTTCATTTGTAGGTGTGTCCTGGCTTCTGGTCAGGGCTTTCAATTTGCTTCCACTCTTTCACGGCTGTTTGGCCGACAGAGATTATAAAAAGAGGAAATCAACAATGAGTGCCTGTGGGAGCAGGACACATCCCCAGCCATTTATCTTAAATGTGCTCTAATGTTATCAGTGGAGCTTGTGTGTCATGTCCACTGTCTCTTTGTTTTAAGTGTCAGCATTTCTTTCTTTTTAATGTGTAGTTGGACTGTTGTTCTGTGGTAGATGCCATTGAACCTGAATTCAGGTCGTTCATATGAATTTTTAAAAAAGGGAAAACATGAGAGCTTCCATTAATACGATCCTCTCAGTGTCTAAATATTTTCCCAAAACTGAATCTACCCCTAAAACTTTTAATTGTGATAATTAGAAATTCATATATTCAGAATGTGGGTCATAAAGTCAAGATTTTAGTTCTACGCTTTATTTTGCAGACTTTCTTTTGCTGGGGGAAGTTTTACATTTTCTCAATTACACCAAAAATTAGATCTGACTTTTAGAAAGTACCTCTGATGAGTAAATTATCAATTCATATTCTAGGTTCAGTACTTTTCAGCAGTCAGCATGAGATCTCAGTGAGTCTGTAAGACTGAGATACAAATCCCGAGAGCTTTGATCAGAGGATAATTTACGTGTACTGTACAAGTACTGCAGTGGAGCTCTTTACACAAGGCTGTAATTCACCAGCAATGCCATAGATGCAATATTAATACCAGGGAGGAGGGAAATGCTAATGCATCATGTTGTGGTTTTTCCTGCTGGTGCAGGAAACTTTGCATGGTGACTTAAAACAATTGCATTCTGGGAGCATTTTCTTGATGCGTCATCAGCATATGTGTATGTGCACATTTCTCTTTCTACCTGTCACTGTTATGCTTATTGTGTTTTCTTTTCTTCTTTCCTTTCCCTCATGCTGTCCCAAAAAGAGCCCTACAGAGAGACAAGTATGGGAGTCAAACTAAACATTGCTTATCAAATGTAATTGACTTTGGCTTTTACTTTCTTTACACTCAATGATGACAGAGGGTTAATAGAAACAAATAAACTGTACCTCCGTTGGGGATTAGTAGCACTCTCACCTTCTCAAACAGACCCATACCAATCGGCGTAAATCACATTGTTAATTCCACCGATGAGTGTAGATACTTCTCCTTACAGGCACACATCCTTTGGCTCGCTTGATATCACGCACTGAATAAGTTAATCCAATTACAGCCAACATTCAGACTCTCCTCAACATTTCAGAAGGCGCGTCAATAGAAATTGATCCGTATTCTTTTCAGTGAATACCGAGCAGCCTCAACCGTTGTTCGCACACTTAATCATTATTTATCTTTTCTCCCGCCGCTCACTTTGTTCGAGCCGATGAACTTCTTGAAGGTCTCTGGGATACTTCTCGTCAAATTTTCAAGAGTTCACACTGCGGGCCTGATGTTTTTTAACAAGCCGGACGTCCTTGTCTGAGGTGGTTTGAATTATCGTCAAAAAATTGGCTTTCATGTTGATAGGGTGAAAATCAATAGAGTATTAAATCTACAGCAACAGTGGAGAACAGAGTTTCTCCATCCTTGCATCGTGGTTTTGAAATTTATTTATGTATAGAATGATCGTGTTTACATGGTTAAAGCCATAAATACATAAATACTTTCTTACAGTGTATATTGTTACATTGCAATGCTCATATGGGACAATATGGCTGGGGTCTGAATTGAAAGCTGGTGCACTGGTTTGTGTTTACTTTATGAAGTGTGAAATGCATGGCTTTTTTTTGTTGTTGCTTGCTTTGTGTTGTTTCGTGCCGTGCTTTACTTGCGGTGTTGTGTGTGTGTGTGTGGTGCACATTTATCTGTGTTTTCATCACTACCAAAGAATAATCAGTTAAATTTAATGAAAAGTGAAATTGGGTCTTGGAGAATGTTTGTTTAGTAATTTTTTTCTCTGTAACAAGGTAAGTGCCTATGATGCTCATTTACAGTATAAAGGCTTTTAATGTAAATGCAGTGCTTTATCTCTCGTCTAATCCAAATACTATAGGGTCTTTTTTTCCACTGAGTGCACTTTATAGAAATGTGGATGACACAAAGTGCTGAGAGTGCTCGAGGGGTCAGGGTGTGTTTCAGAATAAAAGCGCCGCAGTGTTTGATGGATGTTAAGTGTGTTTGTAAAAATGGCTGACATTTAGCTATGGCGATTACATCCCATCAGATTTCACCCTTCTCATTCGCCCCCTCTACCCCCCAACCCGACCCATGTCTGTCATTCCAGAGGGAATCCTGAACAATGCCCGGGATACAAGTGTCATGGATACTCTACCACTGAATGGTAACCATGGCAACAGCTACAGCATCGCCAGCGCCGAGTACATGAGTGACTGTGTCCAGATCATTGACCGGGGCTACAATCACAAGGAGACCACCCTGGAGAAGAAGATCCTGAAAGAGCTCACCTCCAATTATATCCCCTCCTACCTCAACAATTCCCACGAGCGCTCAACCGAGCAGAACCGGAACCTCATGAATAAGCTGGTCAACAATGTCAGCAACGGCGGCAAGGATAGCGGCTATGGGATGGGCTTGGGAGTGGGGATGGGCATGAATGTGGCGCTGAGCCTGGATGACCACTCAACCTTTGGTCCGCACCATGACGAAGGCCTTGGCCTGGAGTTAATCCGTGAGGAGTCTAATGCCCCGCTGCTGCCCCAAAGACCGCCCCCTTCCCTGCAGGCAGTGGACAACCTTCACAGTCATCTCCACCCATCAGCGCCGCCGCCCCTGCCGCTGTCCCACCACCCCTTCTCATCCGCCACCACTTCCTCCTCGTCCCGAAGGAGGATCCCCCAGGAGAACAGCGAAAGTTTCTTTCCCTTACTCACTAACGAGCACACTGAGGACGAGGGCTCGTCACCCACCCACAACCACCAGAGAGACTCCCTGTACACCAGCATGCCCATGCTGCCCGGCCTGCCCGATGTGTCTGCAGAATCTGCCGACAGCTCCAAAGACGGCGGGGATGCCAAGAGCCCGGAGGCCAGCTCCGACGACGTTTACTACAAGAGCATGCCCAACTTGGGCTCACGCAACCACCTGCATCAGCTGCACTCCTACTACCAGCTAGGGCGGGGCAGCAGTGATGGCTTCATCGTGCCGCCAAACAAAGAGGATCTATCTCCAGAAGAAGTCCACCAGGAGCCCTCGCACCTGGTCACCAGCCTATAGGCCCCAAAACAACCCACCCAATAGTGTCCCTCCTATTACCGTAGTCCTCCTCCTCCCCGTGTCCTCTTGTTCTATCAGTCGTTGGCAGTGGTAGCCTTTCTTTTTATTCAGTGTTCTGAAGACTAAAGCGGAGCAAAAAATAAACTGTACTCTCGCTGTTGCCGACCACAACCAGGATAGTAATTGCTACGTATGGGGGCGAGTACGTGACTATATTTGGTTAGACAAAGCGGGAATCTGTTGATGTTGTGTCCCCCCCCACCCCCCCTCGAACCCCGTGTGGTTTGGCGTGTTTTGTCTCGGTGTGAAAAGAGGCAATTGCTCGAGCAGGATTTTTAGGTCTCAGAGATAAAGTACGACAGTCGAACGGAACTGCACAGCCCCCAAACTATACAAGTCTAAATTATAGACTTCACCATAATAAGTGGGAAATTTAAAAAAGGACTATTTTATTATTCTTCTGTATCTATATTGACTTTTTGAAAGATTTTCTTCCTCTTTGGTGAGTTGCAGCACATTTTGTTTGCTGAAGTGTCCCTTCAATGAAAAAAAAAAGAGAGAAAAAAACAACAAAAAAAACATTTTGAACAATTACCATGAAGGAATTATTGATCGTATGCTTTCAAGCATAGCTGTTTTTTTTTTCTTTCATTTTACTGTGATAACAGTTGTTAAAAGAGGGAGAAAAAACTAATACAAGGAATTATGAGATATTTCTATGTAATTGTACAGATAACTAGCATTGCACATAATAGTATGCTTTTTTTTGTTCCGAGCAAAACCCTTTGTCTCTGTAAATGTAGTGGTTAGGAGAAATTTTGTTCTGTTGTGCTGGCCTTTCTGGGTTTCTGGTAAAAGTCTGTTTCTTTTTTTTCTCCTCTTTTATCACTTTCCAGAAATAATCATCTTAATAGAAACAACATAACACAAACAGGTATCCCTCAGAAAGGTTCATTGTGCATTCTGCATCTCTATTGGCGTTCAGAAAACACTTGTGCTTCTCAGAAAGAGAACAAATTGAACATTGACGAGCACTAGGCACTTGTACAAACAAAAAAAGAAAGTTGGCTGTTTTACTTATTAAAGAAAGAGCTTTTGGAGTGAGAAAAACTGGAAGTGTTTTTCTTTTTCTTCCTCAAGGAGAAAACATATTTATTTATTTGTTCAAATGAACCGTAACAAATGGAGGTGACTTTAGCGGCACAAATACAATTTTTTTTATTATTATGGCTTCTTATTTATTCCTTTTTGTATTGGTTTCCAAGCTGAATGGCATAGCTAATATTTGTTGTAACAGTGAAACTTGTTAACCAACAAATAAATTACTGATTAAGATTTATCACTTAGCTACGAGGGAAGGTTTCATCTGGGCCATGGATCTCTTTTGTACGGATACCAGTGAAGGACCTAGACACGATGGAACGACCAGTTCTTTTTTGTTTAATTATCAGTTAATCTCCCTCATTAGCCCTCTGTCTATTTCAGTGCCAAATACATTTGGCCCAGCAGCAGTGGATGTGCTCTGTATGCTCTGGTCTGCTTTACGATAGAAGCAGTTGATTTCATAAGCTGTAATAAATATTTCAATATCATCGCTGGTGTAACCAATGGATTCTTTCCAGATACTGTATGTTTGACATGAGTTTGATCAGCCATGCAGAGAAGCATGAAAGACAGCGGGGACACTCATCTTGACAGTGGACAAGGAGAGAAGTAAGTATGCTCTGTCCTACGGTAGCTTTTCAATCACACAATAATTTCATGTAACTGCTGTTCTTATGGCCACAATCAGAATATAATCACTAGATTCTTCCACTATAAATGAAATGTGATAATAAAGAACGTGAATTGTCTGACTTCTTATAATAGATCAAATGACTGGAATGTGGGAAAAGGTGTCATCAAGAAAATTATACATCAACTCTGCTGTTTTCTCTGATTTATAGAGCTTATTTATAATATTGTTTTGGTTTCATGTCCTGCAATTTCTCTCCACTGGTTCAGTCTCATTATTCATTCTCTCATTTATAAACTAACCAGAACCGGACAACAAAGAAACATACTTTTCAGTAGTAACCAACTTGTGAATATTGTTGGGATTCTGATTGTCACCTAAATGATGCAAAAAGTAGAGTTAATATAATTTATATCACCCCAAAGTCAGTCTGCCTGTTTTATTTTACTACATCGTGCATGTTAAGTATTGTAGAATGAAAAAGAGACTTCAGCCCATTTTCAGATGTGACTGTGATGAAAAGCTTAGTCACTGGTTAAAACTCGCCTGCCTGGATCCTGCATCAGAAGATGAAGGGAGCTCCGGTCCGTCCATTTGCCCGTGTGCGTAAGCAGAGATCTTCACTTTCCAGAAATGACTGGGGTGGACACAAAGTGTTCCGGCTGTCACCGCTGCATCACTTTGACTGGCATTGCAAACCCCGGCGAGTTCATGAAATGTGCTGAAGATGTGACTCTGAACCCCCCCCCCCTTATCCACTTTCTTAATGACTTGTTACGCAAGCTCATAGGCCGCACCGGGCCTCGATGCTGCCCAGGAACATGCTTGCGTGGCACTACAGCAAACTGCCCATTCACAAAGAAAAAATCTATAGAATGAAGTCAGCGTGTAACATTTTCATCAAACATTGTCCTTCATTCACACTTTTTTCTTGCCCAAGTGAGAATTATTTCTGAGCAGCAACGGTGGACGTTATATTGATTTTACAGACTAAGCCATCACACTTTAGATAAATCCTTAATTACTAAAGGTTTTCTGCTTACCTCCCTATCCACAAACTTAGTGTTGACGTGTGCTCAATGCTCTGAAAGCGGGGCACGGTGAAGTTCTCAAAGAAATAATCAATACACTGAGTTTGTGCCAGCTTTTTTATTCCACAAACCTGTCACACTCTTATAATATAGGTGACCGCAAGACAGATGTGCTATAGTAAGAACACAAAGCCATGTTCCTGTTAATGCTGTACCTGTGTGTTATTTTAATTGCTTTAAAGGATTAAAAACATTATGAACTACATATTTTAAGCTCCTTTTGAAGTTCCCTCCGGCGAGCATTAGAGGATTCATGTGATTAGAGATATCCTCGTTACTGACAGTTAAGGACGTTCTCCACTTTCCCTGCATCCCTCCTCCAGCCTGCAACTCCTAATATATGACTGATATATTTTACATTATCCTCAACATGAACTGCTATTGAACTCATCCAATTTACTTTTCTTTTCAAGTCAACATAATCTGAAATAATAGCATTTAAAAAAAACTATTGTATTACATTTTTGTCTGTTTTTATTCCTCTGCGATAATGCTATGACACAGTGGACAGATTTAAACAAGAATATTAGATATGGTTTAAGTTTGCACACTAATTTACCCAAGAAAATGTAGTATAGACAATGTGTAAACGTCTATTTGTAAGCTGTATGTTCTACGGAAAAACTGTGTGACGGTGAGCAGTTATGCATATTTGTATTCATGTATTGCGAGGACCCGGGTCTGCGTGTTTGACTTTCTTTGTGTAAATTAGAACACGTCCCAAGACAAACACCTATATGCCATGTGAACAACAATGTATGAGCAGCTCACATGTCATATATCAAAAGGCACATTTCATATGTGGCCCTCTATTGAAAAATCAATGGCCAAATGCCTGGCAGAATTTCAATTGAAAGGTGAATCAATGTCATTTCCAGCTCTCTGTGCGTTGGGACAGCTTGACAGCCTGAACACATGAAGAGAAATGTCTCACTGATTTTTAGTCAAGATACCATTGATTTAAGGTGGCGGTGGTGGGAAAGGCACTCATGAGTATAGGTAGGTATAAGGTTGTTTGCATGGAAGAGTCGCAATTCACTATGCAATGGGGGGGTTTCACTTCTAGTTTGCTGCAATACATTTTTGTGCCCGTGGCCTGTGGGATTTCTATATAAACTTAATGGAAAGACAATTTGTAAGATTAGATTTTCAGAGTTTGATCAAGAGGCATATCTGAGGATCCACTGGGAAAGAAACTCCACGACTTTTAGATGAAGCATCTCAGATCCATTACCAACAAAAAAAAACTTGTAGTTTTCTGTTGCTCATAACTAAAAGGTCCAATATGAAGTACTTTACTGGCAGAAACTGAGCACGATTTTCCTAATTGTGTCTCCATTAAATCTCATGTATAATAATTTAAAAATCCGTTTTTGTTATATTATTGTTTAATTATTTAATATCAAATATTTCTGCCATATCTCAGCATCTTTGAATGTTTTAGCTTATTAGACATACAATTAGCATATGTAAGCATGCACGGATGAAATTAGGATGTGTCTGGTGTTTGGGGGGGTAATCATTTTCTTTTATTTGCAAATTAAAAATAAAAATGTACATTTTCTGACAAGCATTAAATCACAAGGGCAGATTAGGCTCTTCGTAGTTTTTACATTTCACACACAGAATCTGAATCATCTGCTCCTGCTCGCTTTTGTTTGAGACAGCGATGCATTATGGGTTGTTTGTACCTGATTGGAGCCACCTGTTGCTCTTTTCACCTGGAGCCCGTCACCTCTCAAGATGTCCGGTAAGCTGAGCTGTATCACTGATATCAAACCAACGCGACGTGTCTCCTCTGGTTTAGTGTTAGCGGCCTGTTTTGCCGCATTAACAGTGAAACTTAAAGTGTCTCGTGAGGAGCAGAGTTCGAACAAAGCGGTCAAGACGTCCGTCGTTTGTAAAAACACCGTCACCGGCCGCAGCTTGAATTTGAATGCGCGTCTCTTTCTGGTAATACGGTAAATGCATGGAGCGAAAAAGACAGATGGAAAGTTTTAATGTCACTTGTGGACGTTTGATAAAATAAATACAAGTTCAACCCACTGAGGCTTAATATACAAATACTGAGGGTCAAGAGAGTTTAAATTCATATTTCCATGGTCAGTTTTGAGAGCAGTAGCACTAATGGAAATTCCCCCTCGTATTTCTCCACATTTCTACAGTAAAATCATTTGAAACTTGCAGACAGTGAGGGCCACTGTCAATATCAGTGAGGTAGACATTCTTCATCAACTCTCAGGGATTTTCTTTAATTCATATTTTCGACGAGCAGGTTTTAAGTGCTATAGTGAAAATTAGATTTCCCCTCGTATTTCTCCACATTTCTTCTGTGAAATCACTTGAAGCTTGACAGGCAGACAGTGAGGGTCCCCCTGAAAAAGAGTGAGGTGAATTTTTTTTTTTTTCAATATTTTCATGCAGCAAGTTTTGATAGCGATAAATACAAATTGAGCAAATTTCCTCCTTAAATGTCTTGTTTGTGGTCGTGTTTTCAGGCACTTTCACACAATTGTTGTTTGGTCTTGACTTTTCCATTTAGAAACCATAAATACACGTTTGAAAGATGCCTCAGACCAAAAAACTGTCCCGAAAAGACGTGTTCTTTGTCTGGATCAAACTAAAACTTGGTTCAGCTTGGATAGTTCGTAAAGCATCAAATATTAAATGAAGAAGTGCCTGATTGCTTGAAGTCTTTGCCGCTGACGATACGTAATGTTTGAATAAGGAGGACATTCATTCAGCACGTTTAAAATAGTGTCCAGTACTGCACCTGAAATTGGTGATGCCTTGAGTCCTGTTACACAGCACAAAATTAACAAATTCAATATTTTCTCCATGCAAACAGATGCTTCTTGTCAACAGACCAATCAGTGTCAAGTACAGGTAGACACAGCTCATGTAGGTGATGAAGACAGGTTGTGCGTATGGCATGGAGTCTTTTGTGCGTTCCATGAATTGGAATATGAAACTAAAACTGATCAGATCAAATGTAAACACCCTCAGTCACATCAAGTGTTTATTTTATCTTGTCACATTAATGTCATCCTTAAAGATATTCTAACGTGCCCCTCCTGCACACTTCTGCATCTTAAACTCTTAAAGTCCCATTTGCCCTTGTCATGTTTTGGCCACACATAAATATAATACCTTGCAACGTGCCACTCTGGCCTTGTTTTATGACAGAAGGAATAAGCAGTGAAACCCTGCGCCCCTTCAATGCCTGACAGTATCACAACACTTGCTCATCAGGGAGCAGCAAACAGGCCCTCGCGCCAGGGGCAAACAGGTGACGTGACATTCGCAGGAATCCTCTGTGAGTTAATTTGGAAGATCATTTTCAGTGTACTGGCCACAAGAGAATGAGTGGGGTAGCCAGGAAAATGGTAATGGCTGTCTAGGGAATTTTATTGTGTTACTGCAGGTCGTAGAGTGGAGTGTACTGTACATAACCAGAAGGACGACTGCAGCATGAACTAGTTCACCTGTTACTTATGTGTTGGCCCGGTCTCTGTGGCTCTAAGGTCACTGGAGCTGTAGTCGTGTTTACAGTCTGGACATGAGCTGAGATGTAACAGCATGTTGACCTTGAAAAACTGGCATGGAGTAAGGATGTTAAGTAATTGATTTACAAAACCTGCACCACAGCAGGAACAAAATGAAATGCTTTTACAACAGAGATAAATATAATTTACCCATTCCTCCGTCCTGATGCACTCTGCATGTCTGCAATCGAAAAATTATTTAATGAAGCAAATACTAATAGGTACCAAAACAAAGAATTTCCGTCACATTAGAATATAACATCATGTAATTAAAATGATTTATATACATTGTTGTCAACCTTGTTATGTAAACATGATTTTAAAGATTATTTTTGGTATTATTGAAAAACCTTTAGAAAAATGTTGCGTTCAAAATGAACCCTGCAGTCAGAACTGACATTGATGATTAAGGCTGCTGATGATTTTTTTGATTCATCAATGAATTTTCAAGTTTGTAAAATGACAGAAAGTTATTATAAATTCACGCCATGATGGTGTTTCTATATTTTCCTCTGACAGTCAATTAAAGATATTCAGTTTACTTTGAAATACAATTCATAGCAGAAACCATCAATGTTTTGGCATCTTTGCTTGTAAAATTCCTGCTAACTAATTAAGATTAATACATTTTCAGCTTATGCCTGAAACGATGCATGCACCACAGTGTCAGTCTATCAATTGACTGGTTGGTAGAAAATTAAGTGACAAATAATTTGATGATCTATGTTTGTTTTAGTTCCTCAGGAAAAATAGTAATCCTAAATTCAGTGCACGGAATTAAAGCTTCTTGGTATTATTATTATTATAATTATTTTTTGTGTCTTCATGTATAAAATAATGAATCAATTAATTTTGGAAGCAATCCATGGATTAATTCAAAAATAACAATCATTATTTTGCTCCCCTTATAAAAGGAATATAAAAAGCATTTATCCCTACAGTTTGTACTGCATTCTAAAAGTGTATCAGTAGGAGGTGAGTTGTTGTTGTGGAACACACAGGTCGTTTTTGGTGGGTCAGTGATACAAATTTTGTTGTTGCAAGGTTGTGACAACCATAATGACACAGTAATTATGCTGTGACACACCTCTAGATGAATGATAAAAACACGGCGATAAAGGTAAAAGAGTTCTGCCTCCGAGCCAGATGGCGTGCAGCGATGATGTCTGGCCTGCAGTCAAGGTGGACAGCACACGAGCCAGCATTCTGACAGACCAATGGATTCCATGCTCGTCATAGCCCCCCATCTATCCCACCTCTACGGCCAATCAACAAAGATAATCTTTTGAATTAAGAGAAAAAATCCGGGGTGAACACTTTGATGAGATAAGTACCCTTTGTCAGCGCAGGCAATGGTATTTTAATTAAATATATGAACACATGGTCCTGCCCCAGATGCTCAAGTCTAAACAAAGATAGCATCATCTAATCAAAGCCAGGCCCGAGTGTTTCAAGGGCAGAATTATTTTCTATTAGGGCCCCTCTCCTCAGGGATTGAGCCAATTTTCTTTATTATGATAGAATCAGCATACTGTAGATTGAATCTGGCGATAGTGTCACGGCGGGATAGGTGCGCTGGTCCCAGACCGCCCGCGTCGCAAAACCTTCAAACATACAGAGGTGTGTCTTTGGAAATATTTGTACTAGAAAGTATAAGAAGAAAGCATGTAGTGTTTTTGATATTAGTTCATAAAATCACTGTGTTTGGTTCACACGATCTCGCCGATCCGTTAATCTCTTGACCCTGCTTGATTTTTAATCGGTTTCCTTCAAGATACGCCATTGAGAAGCAAGATAAGGATACCCGCTGTAGAAGGCCTCTGTTTCAACATGCTATTCTAATGCATGGAAACATTTAGAGCATGAAGCCAAAAAATAATCTGCGTATACAAACCCTGCTCAAGGTAATAAAATAAATCCTTCTGGATTCTCTGTGGATACTGTTGGTTGGACACTACGGCCATCCAGCACTTTGATGAGGTCTCCTGACGGGAAGCTCTCACTTATGTCTACGCATCTGCCAATACCAGCACCGGGTTTCATAATGGATGCCAGCACGCACTGCTGCACAGTTGGATATAAATGATGAAGTTGTGCACCGCCATGTTTTCTAATTGGGTCACGGAGAAGCCTGGTCGAATCTGCAGAGAGATGCTGTCATTGGAATCAGTGTGGGATTATTAGACTGATTTAATCATTTTTAATATGAATGCTATCACACTTTCACATTTACAGATAATTGAAGTAATGGAGACAGTAGTAAAAACCCAGTTTTTTGCACAGGAGTGGGTATTTTAGCTCTAAATTGCAACAGTGACTACAGTTGCACACTTCATATTAGAACAGAGGCTCAGAGATTCTAAGGGATTTGTGCAATGACTAAGTAGTTTGATTTTAGATCTGTAATTGCCTGGCACCCCTTGTACATTCCTAATTGGCTTAATTTCAGTCTGTGGAACAAGATGGTGAGTCAAACATTGCAAATTCCAGGTCAGGTCCATTTAGTGTGAATGTGTTTGAAGTTGCGAATATGAAGATTTATCTTAAGTGAAGAAATTTAAGGAATACAAGTAATTTTCTGTGTCGTCATGTGGGCCCCAAGTGGCCATTTAATCTAAATCTGCCGTTGCCCTCTAGCATTATTTTGATTGAAGTGTTTTTGTGATCAAACATACTCAGTTGTATTTACTTTTAGCTTTGCCACTGATTGAATCGGTTTAGCCCAAGTGATTCAGAGCTACTTGGCCACGATATCAGCTGAATCCAACATTTAGATTGCAGAGAAACTAGCACAAGCTTGGTAGTGAGTTTTCTGAGTTATATATAAACATATATTAGGGCTGCACGATATTAATGGTGAGATATTATGGAGGTATGCAATCTCTGAGGGTTGTTCTGTTTATTATGTTTTATGCCAAAGCCTTGACTGAAAACATTTTATGCTGGTATCAAATTATTTAAGACAGAATCATCTTTCCATTAAAAATCCTGATTCAGTTGTTGGGATGAGGCTGTATACTCTTTTATTTACTCTGATACTAAGGGGCAAATTTCTTTAGTCTTATTTGTAATCACCTCACTGTGTCTGAAGATGCACAGAGAGGCTTTGTCTATACAGCCGGCATTGGTTCATAGTCCAGGAGCGTGTACATTTAGAGGAGGCCAAAATCAATATTTTTCATAGTGCTGCATTGTCATGTCATGTACTGTAAGGGTTTATATGCCTCAGCGCAGGGGACAGCCATAGACCTGTGGCTTAATGTCTTTTGGTTATCCGTACGTCCTTGTGTCCCATTCAAATATATAAAAATATACTGTGTTTCTGGAGAGTCTTTTGGGAATTTCTGGGATGAAGGATGAGCTAATTAGACGTTTTGGGCCAATACTAAAGAATATGTATTCTAATTATGGAAAACCCTCATCCACATATTAAAGGAGATAAAACAATAGACTGTATTTAAAGATGGACGACATGACAGCTCCACAAAAGTGTAACTAAAGCATCTCAATCGACGGCTCCAAATGTGCAAAATGGCAGCATCATATCCTTATTTATGGATAGTGAGAGGAATTGGAGTCACTTTGTTCATCATGGATAAAAGAATGCAGTGATGTCGTTTCATATCCAAAAGGTCAAAGGTCAACTTCACTGTGACAACATAAGGTTCTGTAACAACACTTTTCTGGGGTTCAACAACCTGAAGAAGGCTGTGACTCTACTTCTGTCATTTTAATTGTCGGTAGAGGCACAGTTCTGTTCGTTCGGATTCTAGTTTTACAGTGGCTGTGCAGTAGAATATTGTTATTGACAGCTGTGGCATTTATTGGAGATTTGATTCATCATCAGGAGTATACAGAATTAAAATCCCCATGCATGTAGTATGGCCCATGGGATGTTGAATGTTTGGATTTGTTTATTAAACTGAGTAATTTGTTCTTACCCTCAGGTCTTCACCAGCCTGTAGCCATGATTGCCACATCCAGGTATGTTAATGATATATTCTTTACATTATTTTGTATCATTTCAAATGGCACATTATAGGTGTTTAAATTACTGGATGTCATTGATTTCCTACTTAGTTATGTAACTCCTCACAGTGCATGGTGATAGTCTGTTTTTATTGTTTAAAAAACGCTGTTGGTGGTTTTGCAGAACATTTTTTTGTAATTAATCTGGACTGAACTACAATAATATTTAACAGTAATGTATCTTTGATGAAAACAAAAGCTGACGTGATGTTCACTGTGATAAATTACCTCAAGCGTCCCATCTGCACATTGATTGTTATGTAATGTATGGAAATCAAGTACTGCCAGTAATACAGTTTAAATTATGGTAACAATTAGCTCATTTATTCTAGTGTGTACTCTGTAAATCTGGAATGAATGTGGGGATCACAAGATGAATTACAGGCAAATTAACCTGATGACTTAAAGTAATTTTCCAACAATCGGTCTAATACAACAAGAAGGAAAGAAAACAAAACAAATGTGTGTGCAGACGCTACTCATCACAGGTCTAAAGGATTTTATATCAAGCTGTGAGTCATATCCATCCATCGTCTTCAGAAATAAATGCATTTATAGATGCTTGGTGGCAAAAACAAAAGGGAGTAAGTCCGTCAGTTTATCTACAATCTGTGGGACTTTGCTATTGTATCAAAATGTCATGGGACTGGGAGTCAATAACTCACATTGAATGACTGAGGGAGAAGTTGTGCTTTCCTTTAATGAAGCAAGAAAACAGTTTATCTGGCTAGATTGACCTTAGGCAATTACTTTAAGCGCATTCTTCAATCAATAAAACACTAGTACTGTTTGTGTGCGTGCTTGTGTGGAGCACAGCACAGAGTTTTCCAGCTTCTTTGCTCGGTAGTATCATTTTGTTGTGTTGGATATGTTGCGTTTGTGCAATATTTGACCGCTATATTTTTACATCTCAGTGTTGTCGGAAGTATTCCATTTGAAAAGCATCGCAAAAAGAGGGCCACTCTTAGTTGTGAGTGCACCTGTGCAATCGCTTTAATAGATAAGAAGTGGTCCCTGGGGGCCGACCGTGTTTTAAGATGAGGTTACTGGCCTTTAGTTATTTTTATTTTTTTGTGTAACCACACTGTCAGTTCTGAGCAGCAGCTGTCAAAACTAAATGCCCACTGGCTCTGCTAAGAGAGCACAGATAAAAGTGACCCTCTGCAAATAAGCTTTTTTTCTGTCTGGGGTTTGCAGGAGGGTACAATAAGAAATCACACTGCAGATGGATATCTGCACGATGGCCCCTTGTTCTGTATGCTGGGATGACCTTGTAGGATCTAAACTCCAGATACAATAAAGGGAGGATGCCTCAAATTAAAGCTTTGCACAGGAAATTGAACTGTCAGACAGATGGAGAAGGAGAAAGAGCCAGTTTGTAATACGGTTGATTTTATGCTTAGGGCCTGCCTGTGCAAATGTCACAGTTAATGGCAGTTATTCTGGATATAATATGCATTATTGTACCTACTATGCTTTTGTCAAGGTGATTCATTGTTGTTAGGAGTTGTTCTATTTATAAAATACTGTGTGTGTAATACATAGTGCACAGCATATGAGAAAACAAGAGGAGCTTGGCAGATTTATTCTCTGTTCTGTAAGATGTGATGTTAATGTAATGTACAGTGTGAGTATTTATTCTGTGGTATTATTTACATTTGTGTTTTCCGACTGTTATGATGGATGACCCTAATATTTCTATACAGCTTCAGATTCAAGTGATGGGTTAGCTTTTGAGGCTAAAAAGGCAGAAGAGGAAAATGTATTATTAATATTTGTAATGTTTATCAATCCATAATTACTACTTTCAAACTATATGTGTTTTGCTAAAAGACTGAAGGCTTCTCTACATGGGAGACATTTGAGTCATTCTCTCACACATCTGGTGGAATAAGTGCATGTTTATTTTGACCGTTGCAGGCTTACGGCTTGTGCTTCATTTGCAGCCACTCGAGGCCCATTTTAACATTTCAAAATCTGTTGGTGAGTTAAAACAGTCACTTTTATTATAATGATTCTGGGACAGTGTTCACAAACATCCTGAGGCTAAAGTAGCTCCCAACGGAGGGAACGCAGGGCTGTGTCATTTCTTACTTTACAACTCCTGATCTAAGTAATTCACAAATTAACTATAATTGTTGAAACATTTTTATTACTCATCGCATTATATTTCTGTATGTTTTGAGCATATCGCCATCTTTATATTGTTGCACATTGAAATCAAAACCTCAAGCTACATCTTTTTTTGAAATGGTTTATTAACACAACCCTCCCCGAGAGATTTTAACTATCCATCTCGGGGCTTTATCTTGTTTTTCATCTCTCCTCTTGATGCATTCTTAATGTTTTGAACCGACTTTTGGGTTTTTCATCTGTCCTTTGCTGTCAACAATTTTCATCGTGTAGGTATTAGAGTCCCCTATGTTGCCATAGTACAAAAGTATATCAATAGTACCAAATAAGCCGGTTTAGTTGTTTAAAATATTTTCTTGCTGTCAATCGTTCCATGTGAGAGGTAGTGCTACTCCATGCTCTTACAACACAATGTCCCCCCCCCCATGTTAACATCCATGACCTTACAATATCTCTTGAGATATGGCTCTCTGAAAATAGTATTTTCTTCTATCTAACATAAAGTAATGGCTCAAAAGCCTAGCATGACCTATTTCAATTTAGAACCACGGCTCTTCATTTATATTTGGTAGCTTGGACAGTCGTGGTATTCTGCTCCCAGGAGAGTCTAACCAAGACAAGTCTCCCAAGCCTTTGACGATGCACCATTTCAAGCATACCTTAGTGGACCAAATGGCCTTGTCTTTGGAACAATAACAATGATTCACTGCAAAAAAAAGTCGTACCTTTGTCCGTCCAGGCCTCATCATATCTTTCTATACTTTTTTTTTGTTGTAATTCTTCAAAATATGAGTTTGTTACAAAATAAAATCTAAACTTTCAGGTAAAGCAAAACCCTATTTCTTATAAATCTATAGTTGTCATGTTTCCATGTTAAGCCATGACCGTACATATTCTTCTTTACTGACAATGTCCATAAACCTTGACAGTTAAACATTGTTATAGGCATCCAGGGTTTTATATGGACAAACTAAATAAAAAAAACTTGTAATTCTTTATCTTCCTGTCAAGCAGGTCATGTCCTCCGTCCTCTTGGGAACAAACTGAATCTAAAACCTTCATAAACGTCCTGCGGTACATTTCATGCAGTAGTTATTCTGGCAGTGTCCTTTATGTGAGTGATGACTGAAATTAGTATCTAACTAAATCTGCAATAAGCTCCTGTATTAGGATAAAGCTCCCATAGGACAAATGATGTGCCTGCATTAAATTAAGTGAGCCTTCTGATGCCATCATATCACCCAGAGCATCTGTGTCTGTGCCTCCATGATTATGCATGTCCCACTAAGAGAACTGTAAAGGCGCTCTGTCATTGCTTATTAAGTATTCCTGCACAAATAGTGTCAATTAAGTGCAGTTCCCAACAGGCTACCTAGACGGTAAGTGGATTGATTAAGTTTTGCATTTGAATGGATTTTTGACTGTTTATGTGATGTACTGGCAATGAAATTACAGACTAATTCAGTCTTTCAACATCTTTGCTGGCAGATGGAGTCTTTCTATCAAAGCTTTTTTTCCCTTCTTATTCTTCTTATACTTTCTTAACTTGTGTATTTGGAGTAGATCAGCTATGACAGCCCTTTTCTATACAGCTATAAACACTTGAGCCAAATGTCTATAGAGTTTATTGTGCAGTGCAATATTTCAAGATGCTTCCAACAACAATATTTCTGTACTTTAAACTCAAGTGTGTGAAGGCTGCAGTGATGCTTGAAATTTCAATTGGCTGAATGGTGATTTTTTTCACTTGTGGCACTGATCATTAAATTAATAGATAAATGGTTTCCCTGCTCTTATCCATATCTGTTATTTTAGTCTTTGAGACAGGTGATATATACATTTTTACCTACTTCCTGCTGAAGGTGTTGGTTACATGATATCACACGCTAAATAATTCACTGTGGTGGGTTTTCTGGGTAATTCATCTGCGAGTTCAATGTAGCACCGTGCAGACATTAAAAGGCCAGCATCCAGCTATAATAAGTACAACTTCATTGAATTCTAATTCGTCATTCCTCCTGCAAATGCAACCATTAGAGGAAATGTATAGCTATTTAATTGTCTTGCTGTGGCTATACTTCAGTGCTTTCGCTGACAGTCATGTCTAAAGCCTTGTTGAATTACCTCCTCCACTTTATTTTGATTTGAGATCCACATTAAATTAGTCACCTTTTGTACTTCTCCTTCTTGGTTCAGATCGCTCCTCCCCCTCCTCCTCTTGTTTCTCTCTCTCGGGTTTATACAAAGGCATGAATCACATGTGAGGATTATTACTCTCCTCCGGGAACACCTCGCTGTCCATTTACTGAGGCACGTATAAAAGCACTGGTAGTCAGTGGGCTGATCATCAAAGAGAATAGTTCACCTTATTTTGTAGTCAGCACACCGTGTAGTTTATAGCTGCGGCTTTAGGTGTCAGATGATCTTTAAACTTTGTATTTTATATTTACTTAGGCAGAGAGTTAATGCCTCATTTATATGCAATATCATGTCTTTGTGGTGTCTACTAGGAGAAATGAATGCAATCATGAGCCAGCATGATCTTAATTATTAAAACTCCATATTCTTTAGCTTTATAATTCTGTTTCAGACCCTGGCGCTCTCCAACACATGACGCCAACGAACAGTTCATCAAACCGACCCGGTCCGGAAAAGGAAATGGCATTTAGCAGTGTGATTAATAGGGTCAATATGCTGCTAACGGGGGACACTAAAACATGTCATTTTAATCATGACATTGCTTGTGGGAGAAATGGAAGCAAATGATTTCATTACAATTTTCCAGCATCTTGCTGCACTGCGTAAAAGAGAGAGAGAGAGAG